ATACATAAGAGTCACTGAAGTGTAACATTCAGTCGATTTTAAGGTGCCGTTTTTTTATAAGCCTGGATGCTAGCACCCACGTTGCTCACTCTGTGTAACCTCTGAATCACTTTGGTGATGAGACCCTCTGTAGTCAGTTTGGGAGTTTTAGGCGTGTTAAGGTTTCAGTTTCCAAAACTAACATGGTAGATCGTTATTGAAATTAATCGTGACACGATATGATATGAGATTGTATACCATAGTGCATCGTTAAATAGAATCGAGTTAATACTATATATTTTCTCCAGAGCCGTATACACGTCAAACAAATATGAGAGTGTACGTAATCTGCTATGTGAAAATATGTCCTCATTCAATTCTTATACCCAAGATCATGTGTTCACACTAATAATATTTATGATTATTACATGAAACCTACATACGAAATATATCTGTTTGTTTGTATATTGAGAGCTTGAAGCTGAAGCATAACACTATCAGTGATATACGATTATCTTCATCACATACGTCCCACCTGCTGATACATAGTTATATCTGTCTGTATCATATGACATCGAAATTAGAACGAATATATGTGCACAGGCACTTTGTACATATAGCATATCTACTCACCTAAATCGTCTGCAACTATGAAGACAATATTGGGGGGTTGTGTTGCCGCACAAGACACAAGAACCGAGAGGAGCACAAGGATGAACTTCTCCATTACTACGGTCACAGATAAATGAACACACAATAGCGGTTCTTTTTATATTCGTAAGATGGCCTTCGCTCGCTTATCACCTAGATAGATATGCATGCATATAATATGTGCACATTAACGTGATGCGTGGCAGTTAGTTTTGTCGAAATGCTAACAATCTGTAGTGCTAATGTAAGCCGTCAATTCCCCAGCCTTTAACTATATATTCTCACAAATGCTGTCATTTTTAGTCCAGCATAAATACTTTCATTGTAACAGGCTTAGTGAATAATGACGCATATATGCGTATGAGTATTTTGTTAGCAATAACACATTATCTCACTCAACCTTCCTTTTCATACATGTGATTCTGGCATAGCGACCTCCACATCTGACATATTGAAATGTAGGACAGGTCAGTTTGTAGTATACGCGAGAGACATGTGTCCAGGGTCTGACTACATGTAGTTCATACCATGACTTATACAATGTAACAGATATGACAGACAATATCTTGAAGAATATTTAACAGATGCACATTCCACTTCCTATTCAATCTAAAGAAATGAAGATTGACTATTCACAATTTAATTTTTGTCTCAATTAAAAATAAAATAACATGTAACAAAATATAATTTAGCTGTTTTGGAAATTGATTCAATCTCTTTCACCTTGTGAGGACGTGCAGCTGACTCTTTTTCAGCTTCGTCATACCTGAACATATATAGGCTGGTTGAACATGACAACGCTTTCTTATCTGTACTAAAACCCTGTCCCTTGTACTGCTGTGGATCGAATCTCTTCTCAATCTAACAGCGATGACCTTGTCTCGTCCAGATTGCAGTCAAGGGCGAATTCCTCAGCTTGTGTCTACCAAGGTTCTTGAAGGAATTGTTTGTTATAGTTTTACCAATTGTGCATGGCTATGTCGTAAAAATGGTACGAAGCTGTTGCATTTATATTCCGCGTGCATATACTCAATATCAGTTAGATCGTTCGTGGTCTTATTTCATGGTTTGCTTTGCTTTAATGTTCAAATAGTTGGCATGTGGCAGTCAGAAGATGGGTCTGACGGCCATGCCTTCATTGAGAAAAGACGTTTCAGGTGGTGGATGAGTAACGGGTCCGGATTGTGTGGCTGTGTTGGGTACTGCGGGTTGTTTTACAACTGTTAAATACATATAGGTAATGTTCCGGATATAACAGTACCCAACACAGACACAAAATAAGCTTTCACATTAGAACACGTGGTACATATTCGCATTGAAAGGGTTGTCTTATAAAACATATGTGCAGACAAAACATTTGGAGATGAGAAAAACAATACATCTGACTGAACCCCCTGAAATACGTGTTAGCCGTTTGAGTTGTATAAATGATGTACCTATCGACAAAACAGGGACATATACAGCGCAGGTAAACATGAATCGTGAGGACTAAGACGTCATGATGACCACGTACTGAGACTATATTATTCGATGTTTTCTACATTGATAGATTCAGCTCAAATAACAGTAATAAAGTGTTAATAAGATCAAGGAATGTAATGGCATTTACATGTCAGTATATATCTAATGGTGCTGTTGAATCTGTCCATATAGGATTTACGTTGTGCATCAAACTTAGAATCAAACTCTGCTATACAAGCTAATGCAGACATAATATCATAATTGTTACAGACTACCAACAGTACACCTGACTAGCTGACAGGTTCGCGGTCTCCGACCTCTCTGCTGTCGGACGTGATAACAGATCGAGGTGGAATGTTGAGTGTCAGGTCAGCTCGTCGCTCTGTGTTATAGTTGTGAGATTACATCATCTCGTGATGGAAGTGATGTCATGTCGCATTCATTCAACCAACAGCCTGATAACGGCGTCCGTCAAGGACGCATTCTCAGTTTCATGTCATGAGTGAGTGAGTGAGTGAGTGAGTTAATACTTAACGTCACATCGGCAATATTTCAGCCATATCGTGACGAGAACATTTGATATTGAAATGAAACACATGTACATTATAAAAACCTGTCGACGAAGGACAGTAAAACAACTAGTTTATCACAATTAGAATTAAAACTAGCGTGGAAAGTTTAAAACTAATAGCACTATTGGGACAATACAATATAAAATCAGGCTATAGATCGCCAACAACAGAAGGTAGATCACCATACTAGGGTCCATGGGGACTTACAGTACCTTTGCTACCTGCATGGACCCTAGTTGGATTTACACCATCCCTTCAGCTGCTGTCGATTGTAAGAAATGTTAGCCAAAATTAAAATGACAAAAATGCTACGTTTAAAAATCCTAGCAAGTTTAAATAGACTTAGAATCATGTCATGAGGTAGGAATTACGTTTGATATATCTTGAATATTTCCACAAAATGAAAACACTTGGCGGGCATTATCTGTACCTTGTCTTCCATTAGGCATTGTAATATCTCTTTATAACAGAAATCACATGTTTTGTGAAATACCATAAACAAAGAATGAGACGATGCCTCGCAACGTTGGTGCGGCATTTGCTTTAATCAACAACACTTCTGGAACCATTATGCATAAGATAATTGTAGTTGGTTTTTCAAAATGGTAGTCAACCTGATCACATATGTACTTTCGTCTATCCAAGAGTGACAACTCATCGCAGCCACATCGCAAAACCCCAACATGCTAATATAGCAGACATAGACATTTCTACAATTCTACATCTGACAAAACAAATACATTTTTGCAGTATATCATTCATGAAATCTAATTTGTTTAGTCTATCATTGTTTGTTGTGAATCAAGACGTTCACCACTGGATGGTACAGGGATATATGTGGGACGTCCTCTTAAACCACTACTTTGAAGATAATTAACATTGATCTACTCAAAAGATTACTTAAAATAGTCCATTTATGTTTCGTCAAAAAGGCGTCAAATTCTGTGTCATAAATTAAAGCATGTCTCGCAATGAACCAGAACTAGATGGTACATGGGTATTTTTTAAAATTTGTTTTGAGCTGTTGATTACGATAAGAAATACAGGTACTGAACAAGCAGCTGTCAAACTCACATCAGGCGAGCGGTTTAATCACAAAGGCGACTTTTCTTGTTGCCTATATATCGTCCTTTCAGTGTCCTTGACTGGAGTGATAAAGCATAAAGATAGCTCGGCCTTGATCTACATGTTCAGGAATTTGACATAACCACGTTTGGCCAGGTTTAAACAATTAAGTCGGAAAACGTTAACGTATTTGTTTAGATTTAATGAAACTGAAATTTAACAACAGTAATCTGATCTTTATGCCAAGAATGTTAACGAAGAATATGACATACATTCCTATCAGGAAAATAGGCAACAGCGACGGACATGCATTCTAGTTTGATAACTATGACATGTGCACTCCTTCGCAAGGATTTTAAAGTACAAAGATACATGAACTGGAACACCTTTTATGGATAGACAACTTATTTGTTGCAGTAGTTGAAGTAGTTGTCTATCCATAAAAAGTGTTCCACTTCATCATACCAGCTTCTAAATGCCACTTAAGGAAGTTACAAAGATACATAGCTAATATAATACATATTTCAATATACTATGGCGGACCTCCATTGAGCTATGTGGATTTGTTTGTTGATTATGGACAGACCAGCAACAGTCCACTCGCATGGCAGTGATCTATAAACTTTGACTAATCAGTGATAATCACGGTAGGATAATATAAACTTGCTGGCACCACTGAAACTTTGTCATTTGGGTCAATCTTCTTCAGCAGCAGTTTTTGTAACCTGTTTTGAGAACCATATATACGGACAATGTTGAATAGGTTCAAAGTGTTAATGAAGCAGCCAGTGGGTCTTAGATCACATATAACCTTCATGACAAATCCAGCCAAAATAATGTAACAATGACATCATTTAATGTAATCATTAGCTGTAGTATGTAGTCAGATGCTAGCAATGTGGCATAAGTCACAGCTATATGAACTATGAACAATTACGTTTCCTAGCTATACCAAGATTTGTAGCTGTTGTCTTTCAGGATCAATTCTTCACAAGTGGGTTACAGCAAAGAGTCAAAACACTTCTTGAATCAGATTTGGGATTCCCCCAGTATTACATTGGCACGACGTGGTGAAGCTAACATTTGCAGATTTGTTGTACTGCCATGTTGTTAGCTGTTACTGTCGACATTCAAACCTTCAGTTTCTTAAACGACCAGAACTCACGTGTCGGCTTCCAAGAATGTATTTCCCAGATTACTCAAACAGCTACGCACCATTAGGAAATTACGACCGTTTGTCTAATACGAAAAGTTCAAAGACAAATACACACAAACTGTGAAATTTTACTTATCATGTATAACAAACACAAAGTGAACAAAGACAGACCGTTATTTATTACCAGCACAGAATGTAGAATAATGAACATATTGTTACAGATTACTGTATTAAAATGAAAGTCAGCCTACACTTAGTTACATATCATTTAAGAACTTACGCCAGATTACAGATTACGCCATTAAAATAGTATTTCATAAAATAGGTCAAAGGTCAACACCATCCGGGGCTCCAGACGTTCCCGAAGTTTTTAGGGTTGGATGCAGGATCATTAGGAGGGAAGAGGGCGGGGACCATCTGCTTCCGGTAGTCCTCTATCCGGGCTCTTAGTTTGTCAACAATGTCCGGCATCTGTGCTGCCAGGTCGTTATGCTCAGTAGGATCCTCTGTTGATGATAAATGACAAATTGACTTGTCTATAAAAAGGATGACGTAATTTTGAATAAATATTGTCTGACAATATCGAACAAATAATTGACTTTATGATTTTCGAAATCGCCAGCAAAATAGTTTGCGAATAAGCATAGGCATTCATATTCTGTGCACCTACCACGTATATTGTAGAGATGCACTGGACTATCGCCTTTAAAATATACAGTCTCCTCATAGATGTCCTTCTCTGTCCGGTTCATAGGCTTGTGCCAACCATCAGGTCCACCTGGGTAGCCCATTATCAGCTTGTAGTCTCCAACCCTGTGAACAACAAACTTCAGTTATCTTATCTACCAAAATGATCGGTATGGAGCTCTGTTAGAAAACACTATGTAGTGAATTCAAATGGGGAAGCCCATCTCTCAACGTCCTACATCGCAGTTTGTAGGTACAAACAATAAGTAACTATTATTGTTCGTTGCTTGTGTTAATAATATTCGGCTATTTACTGATGTAAAGGAAGAGTTGAAATGAAACCTGGTACCTTATTCCAGCATGTCCTTCCGTTGCAGGTTCGAAGTCGTCAAGGTTGTATATGAACTCGGTCCTGGTCGACTCATGGCCATTCCTGATGGATTCCCAGTGACTTATACCATCGATTGACGTCTCTATAACATGAGCAGATTCAGCTGACATTTATCTTTTCTAACAATAAATAGTTAACCCTCCTTCTAACACTTTGTCACCATGTCGCATTTTGCTAATTTTCTCCTCTATTCTTCCTGATAAAAGAATCTGATATATAACATACATTTCCAAAGAGGAGATTACCTAAAGTCATTATGTTACTGTATAGCTATGCAATGCATATCATTCACTTTGACTAAAATCGTGGTGGGAAGATGGCACTATAGGGCACACTCGTATATGAATGCAGATGACGGGTTTTCGGGTTATTGTAGACGCCTATATACCAGTGTACCAGCGTGCGTCTGACACAGGTACTCTGCGGGTGACACAGGTACTCTGTCTAGGCTCAAGTGAAGATGCAGGTGAGAAACATTCTACAGCAATCCATACTTGTCTTCAGAGGCCACCAAACGCCCTCATAAAGCTGACATCTTGCTAATGCAACGATAAAAATCCAACAAAGAAAGGAAGAGGTCCAGATTACCAGGAGATCCACCAGCCGCTGACACCAAGGTGGGCTTCCAGTCTACAGCATGCATCATTCTGTAACAACATGTGATTACTTCAGTGTTTGTATCTTCTATCCTTCCCAGTCTCGTTAACATACTACCTCTAGCATGCGTGTCTCCTTTAAATTTATAGCATTGCACTTTGTACAACACATTGATGGTGTCTTCGAACCCATGGTAAGGAAGTGTTGAGATCTTCCATGCTATAATCAAACAGCTTTAGCCCAGACAGCATTAATAACCAATCAGTTTCCTTTAAAATAATAACATTCTTCTTACATATGTCCAGCAATACACTGATGACGTCAACGAACCCATTGTAAGTTGTCTTGGTTTTCTTCAATCCAGTACCGTACATGAAGGACGTCCCCCTCGTGCCCCCCTCCCAGATTGTGTGCTTCCCTCCTCTCAGAGGCCAGTTGCTGGCATAGCTTCCGATAGGACCACCATTCTGAGGAGATGAATATAAACTTGCTCACACTGAATACTTCACTATAGGTATGTTTTTATCAAGTCAAAACATTGATTACACAACAGTCTCGTTTCCTGCTGACTGGGTTCCGTCCTCTTGCGCAACTTAGTACAATAACCAGTCCAAAATTTTGAGACCAACTCATTCAAATGGATATATAAATATTAATCAGTATTATCTGATACATCTAATCACTTATATATTGCAACACTACCTACACTCCTTCTAATCCTTGCAAACACGTCTTGCAGCTTGCTTTACAGCGTGTTCTGACAAATGGTTATATGGGCATCGTGCAAATCTCAAAACGAGGCTCGGCCGCTAGAAAAGTTTGGCGGTCTGGTACGGACTTGATATTATATCAATGACATTGTACGTTACAAAAATACACTTAATAAGCGCAAAGAACACATAAAAGGTTTAACCAGTGAGCCAGATGAATTGTGAAACATTTCTGCGACGCCTTAGTTAAGGTTAAGGAATTCAGTGTAACCATAGTTGTTTGTTGTGTCTATTTTCACTTTCACACGAGAAAATTCGGATCGGCTGTAAAGTAGGTCATTGTCTGAAATGGTTAATGAGACTCATGTTTCGGTTTGTAACATTAGAATAAAATATGAATGATAATCTACATATCCTCTAAAGTTAATAACACAAAATCACAGCCCTTGGGGTAGGATTACCAATATTACTACATATCCATAAACCTTTTCCATGTCCTTTTCTACGGATGTATACGGTACATGCATGTGTAGTGATGCGGTGGATGAATAAAGAAAAAGACTGTCCTTACATCGGCTGTGAACAGAATAAGTGTGTTTTCAAACAGCCCCCTCTCTTTAAGCGCCTCTGTAACGTTTCCAACTGCTTCGTCGAGGGCAGAAACCATCCCTGAAGATATAAAATATCAGCATAACATTCTGAAAACAAATGTTTATATGCGAACATGTTTTATCATTTAATCCCTATTCCGACATTTCAGACTCAAGTTTTATCTGGTTATCTGCAACAACTGCGGTTATGCCATTTTTAAACCTAATTTGTTTTGATGCAGCCTGGCGATCGTCCCCGACCTCCTGCGTTATCCAATACAAGACGGAGTTTGTATATGGAGTAGGTGGTATTACAGTTTGAAAAAACACACCAAAAAGCAAGAGTACCTGAGTATGTTCGACGGCCTTCGTTCATCACATTAGGATACATGTTGAAGTACTTTTCAGGAACCTGAATATGAAACGACTGACGAATTAAATTATGAATGTGCAACAGATTATGAAACAGAGGTACTGACTGGGCTTTTCCAATTCGTTTTGTCTATTTTATCAGAACGTAAGTTTCTGAACAGTCACGCACCTCTCAGTATTTCTGCATTCTCTCTGACGAGCCATGGTTTTTATGAGCCTTTATGGTCTCTATGAATAAGAACTTATTACAGGGACTACAGTATTTTTCAATGAGGCTGGAAGGGTTTGATATAAGATTCACATCTGGCTTTTGATGAAACATTTTTTAAAGTAAATCTACAATTTTACCTCAATAGGAGCATGTACACTCTGATAGGGCAGGTACATAAACAGAGGCTGGGAGACGTTGTGTTCGTTGATGATGTCAATAGCTTTCTGGGCGAATGTATACTGAAACAGAAAAACAGATTTAGAACTTCAAATACACGTTTTCACTCTGCTTCTCTCGTGAAATCCCGGAACCAGTAATGCATTGGTAAGAAAGTACACCCTATTATGTCATACGAGACACCAGTGTTAGTGTCAACCGCCATGATATTGCTGGAATGTTGTCAGTAGCGAAATCACCATACTGACGCCTTACTGTTTCACATCAAATGATATATGAAAATATTATAAAATAGTACATTTCATTGAAATCCTCCTTCCTAACACAAAATCTCCCTTACTTATAAATGCTCTTTCAGACGAGAAGCACGAGGACGAAAATAGCTTAAGACGTAATGATTTATTCCTAACTTTCGCTTGTTGTGGAATGTTATTCACAGTAACATTATTACAGCTGTTGGCACATGTCAGCACATCGCAAAAGTAAAGGAAGAAATGTGCTTTTGGAGACACAAAACACAACACTGACTCCATGTTTTCGTCAGCGAGACATATTTGATGGAATATCGTTGTCTTAACTCTGATCTCGTTTAGTACACTCTTTGGCATGGCACACACAGTCCAAAAGTAAAAAATGACACTGATATTGAGCTGTGCATACTGATTGCTTTAATTTGTAAATGTTAAGGTGCCATCCATTCCACATGCAGACTGTGTGGCATTACACAGAGTGTCAATGGAGTAATATATGGGCCACATGGTATTGAAATTTCTCTTTACATTGTGGTGCAATACTTGTGACAAGGTGCTTTTAAAAACTTTACCTTTTTAAAACTTTACTCACAGCCGAATACTCTCCTCTGTAATCCCAAGCGGGAAGTTTGTTATCTCGGTAGTCCAAATAGGCACCTGAAAATACATCACCGAACTCTGATATCCGCAAAATATGTGTAGGACATTTCTCCGCCTTCACTAACTGCCCCAGTTCGGTGTTCTGATTAGAAAAGGTTTCACGTCTTGTGGTTTTAAGGACATTCATATAATTCGACCAGTTATAGACAGTGATCAGATTGAAACTATGAGAAAATAACCCTTACTGATTCCCAAATTGTGTCTAGTGTGAATGGAATCAAGGGATACAGAGCTATCGTGGTACATGTGGTTGTGTACTTGCCCTTGCTGTGATTGAAGTAGTCTTCCTCAGCACTGTAGTAACCGAAGTAGCTATCGAACCCTCGGTACGTTGGTGTACACTCCCATTTGCAAAAGCCCAGGTGCCACCTTGAAAACGTCATCACAAGTTTTTGGAGGGAGTTACGTTGTCCAGCATTGTGAAACCACTTCTGATCCGAAAATATTTTGGGAGTCGCCCATTGACTAAGGTCACGGTTTTTAGCTAACCATTTGGTCGTCTGTGCTAGCGTGAGATCGAACCCAAAGAGGATACGGCTCTTGATTGCCAATTGTTTGACACAGTATCCATACAGGTTGAGGTTGAAAAGATACATAATGTTTCAGACAGTTTGCCTGCACAAGCACACTCAGACAAAGATGAACCAAAGGAGATTTGATGAATTATAAATGTATCATTATTACTTTCATCAAGTGAGACTGCCAATATCTCACTCTACAGAAAAGGAATATTCCATCACAAGGGATAAATATTTCTAATCACGAACTATGAAGGATCTTGTTAATAAAATCAGATCTCATTTAGTTATTGCATTTTCAAAAGAAATAGATTTGTTAGATTATTTGTAAATAGATAAATATTTTATGATTGTAAGTTTAAATTAGTAACTCAGAGTGTTAGTTGATGTATCCTCAAGGGGGGTTAAAGTACTGTAAACTTAATGTCCTTCTGAGAGGGTACGTAAGTCCACACACATTCAAAGTAAATTAGAACTCTCCACTATTTTTAACCGTAGAATATGAGTCTTTTTAAATGTATCGCTAGATTTGTCTAAGTTGCTAACGGCTGGGACCATAAGGCTGGCAAATCCAGCTAGGGTCCATGCAGTAAAGCAAATGTACTGTAAGTCCCCATGGTCCCAAGTATGGTGATCTACCTTCAGTTGTTGGCAATCTATATAGCCTGTTTTTACATTTTCTTGTCATTTCTAGTTAAAATGTTTTAGATTTAATTACTAGTTTTAAATTGATACATGTGATACACTAGTAGTTTTACTGTTTTTCGTCAACAGGCTTTTGTTTTCTAATTTTATTGATCTATAATATAATTATTAATTATTCTCGTCACGATATGCTGAAATATTGCCGATGTGACGATAAATATTAACTCACTCACTCACTCACTCTACAGAAAAGGTTGAACTATAATGAGTTTGCTGGACATACTTGCCGACCATGTGTGTAGCGTAGCCGAGTTTCTTCAACTCTTGTGGCAGAAAGGTGTAGTTGAGAGGCACACAAGCAGCCTGACCAGCACCCAGAACTTTGTGCTGCAAAGTGAGATATGAAAGACCCCATTATATGAAAAGCTGTTACATAAAGCTTCTATTATCATTATTTTTAAACATGCTTTGCTCAAGATGTTATTTAAAGGGACAGTCTCGTTTCTTTATTCAGTACAGATGTGGGCCAGCGGCTCTTGGTACATCATTGGTTAGTACAATACACATAAGTGTACAGGTATAGGTGTTACATGGGTGAGATGAAGTGAGGCATGGTAAATGAAATGGTAATTTCTAGCAACAGATGTTTGGTTAGATGACATTAGCATATTTTATTTTGCCACAGTAGGATATTCATAATATTTCTTCATGTATCTTTGATGTTGCTTATCAAAGACTGTACAGATAAAAAAACACACTAAAAAAATAAGAAAATTATAGCCACAGTTACAAATGTTACAAATTCTATTCATTCCTTGGTGCATTTAGGTATCTACCCACCTCAAAACCTAAAATTTATGGACTGCGATTACTTAAAGATAAAACTCTGTTTCAAAAAGTTGTTTGTCAAGCATAAAGAGTTAAAACTTAGAATTATTAACAAAAAAAAAAAAAAACCCCAAAAAACCCAAACCAAACAGTCAATCTTTCCTTTCACTTACCTGCATGCCCACCTTGAATGGAAACATTCCACTCATGAAGGCCGTGCGGGAACTGTAAACAATCATAGGAAACTGAGGAGAACGATGATGTATCAAATATTACACATACCAACAACCAGAGTTGACCTGTTCTTCTCATCTCCAAAATTCTTCCTTTACATTATGAATAATTTTCAGCTTTGCAACTCCGAGGCAGACCATGCTATAATCACCCTTTGACCGTGTATATTTTCAATATGTTCCGATAACATATAATTTGTTTGGATACGCTTATGTTAAATGCAACTTTTGGTTGACATAAAAAGCAACCAAATGGATATTTACGGGCTACAATAAGGCTGGACATATGCGCTCTCAAAGATGATCCCTTCTGTTGCCAGTTTGTCGATGTTAGGAGTCTTCATGTTTGGGTTTCAGAAACCAACATCGTACCATCCTTATTGTGATAAAAAATAACATGAAATGATGTGGCTACATAAGTGTCACTGACGTTTAACATACAATCATAGCACAAAATCCATCAGCTAATAATCAGCCATATGATGATTTACAACATTTGATTATATGTATTTGTGTATGTTAATAGCCAATACATAACGGCTTTCGTGATCACATGTTCCATCAGCTGATGCACGTAAATCTGTTTGTTACATATATCATATGGCCCGGAAACACCTGATTATTTTACATGATAAAGAAAATGATTAGAACTACTTTCATTTTTCAGTAAACAAAACATACTCACCTAAATCATCTGCAACTATGAAGACAATATTGGGACGTTGTGCTGCCGCACAAGACACAAGAACCGAGAGGAACACAAGGATGAACTTCTCCATTGCCACAGTCACATACAAGTGATTACGGCACAGAAGTTATGTTCACATTTTGCAGGTGGCCTTCGCTCGCTTATCACTTAGAATGATAGGAACGTATATTGTATGTGATATGTAGATATTGTGATGGACAGGTCCTCAAGTGTCTCAATACCTCAACCTGTAATCATTCACAATTTAATGTTGGATTCATATAGGTTATCACGCGAGTGTGTTTTCGGATGGTTAATTTCCCTATATTAAGAATAAACATTGTATTTAGCGAGCCTTGGCGAGCTAAATACATAGTGTTTATTCCTAATGCAGTAAATAAAGCATCCCCAAACTCACGAGTGTGATACCTGGATGCCTTTTGCACCACTACCTTGAAGATAATTAAAATTCAAAATAGATTACGCTAACATATTTACTGCACATGGTTGAATTGGGCGGACTATTAGTTCTCTTACATTATATTGATGTCTTGAGTAATTTCGTATCAGTTCAAAAGATTTACAATTTATCACAAATATAAACATGTCTCGCAATGAAACAAAACTAGATGGTACAGGTGTACTTTCTTAATTTGTTTTGAGCTGGAGGCTATGATACAGAACAAGGAGCTGTCAAACTCACATCAGGCGAGCGGTTTAATCACAAAGGCGACTTTTCTTGTTGCCTATATATCGACCTTTCAGTGTCCTTGACTGGACTGATAAAGCATAAATATAGCTCGGCCTTGATGTACATGTTCAGGTATTTGACACAACCACGTTTGGTCAGGTTTAATCAATTAAGTCGGAACACTTTAACGTATTTGTTAGATTTAATGAAACTGAAATTGAACACCACTAATCTGATCTTTATGCAAAGAATGTTAACGAAGAATGTGACATACATTCCTATCAGGAATACAGGTAACAGGGACATACATACATTCCAGTTTGATAACGAAAATATGACATGTGCACTCTTTCCTAAGGATTAAGTACAAAGGTACACATATAATACAATACATAGTTCAATATGCTATGGCGGACCTTCATTGAACTAGGTGGGTGTGTTTGTTGATTATTGCCGGCCCACTCACATGACAGTTATCTATAAACTTTGACTTATCAGTGAAAATCACAGTAAAAAAATATTTTCCAATAACTTGCAGCTAGTATCACTCAAAATGTGTTTTGCATGTGCTGCGATGTGGTAAATCTTCTTCATTTGCTGTTTTTGTAAACTGATTATATGAGGCACCTATGAAGGACAGCCGCAGATATATACGGGTCAAGATTTAATTCACGAAGACCAAATAAATGGATAATGTTTAACAGGTCCTCAAGTGATAATCTAGCAACAAGTGGACAGCGAGGATCTAAGTTCACACATAAACTTCATGACAAGTAATGCCATAATTTATCATAATGATCAGTTGGACAGTGTTATTTATAATGGTCAGATGCTTGCCCTGTGGCCTACGTCACAGCTATTAAATATTCAGAATTACGTTTCCAAGATTTTTAGCTTTTGTCTTTGAGTACCAGAACTTTGCTGATGGGTTACAACAAAGGGTCAACACACTTCTTGAATCAGATTTGGGAATGCTCCAGTATTACATTGGCATGACGTGGTGAAACTGATATTTATAGAGCTCTTGTACTGTCGTGTTGCTGGCCATTACTGTCAACATGCAAACCTCCAATTTCATACATGACAGGAACACAGGTGTGTGCTTCGAAGTCTGTATTTCCAAGAGTACTCAAACCACAACTGCACATCATTAGAAAATTATGACCCTTATAATATGGAATACGACAAGTTCAAAGGCTCAAATACACACTAACTGTAAAATGACATCCTTTTATTTTTCATACGTTACAAACACAAATTGAACTTAAAAAGGGACAACGTTATATATTATAAGAACAAAATGAAGAATAATGAATATATATATATACGGTATATCGTTACAGATTACTGTATTGAAATGAATTTCTTGTTATCTAAGGGAGAACTTTGATCAACATATTGTTACAGATTACACCATTATAATAAAATTTGATAAAAAAACATAAAAGATCAACACCATCCGGGGCTCCAGACGTTCCCAAAGTTTTTTGGGTCAGATGCAGGATCACCAGGAGGGAAGAGGGCGGGTACCATCTGCTTCCGGTAGTCCTCAATCCGGGCTCTTAGTTTGTCAACAATGCCCGGCATCTGTGCTGCCAGGTCGTTATGCTCAGTAGGATCCTCTGTTGATGGAGAAGGGTTGACACTGATGTGTTTTAAAACAACATGTTTCCTTATCAGTGTCTATCAATATTGACCAAGGCGAAGTATCCTTATAACTTAATGTGCAATGTCGTTATGTTCAGTTTGATCCTCTGTTGATGATAAATGACAAATGACGTGTCTATGAAAAGGATGACGTAATATCGAACAAGTAATTGACCTATAATTTTCCAAATCGCCAGCAAAATAGTTTGCGAATAAGCATGGGTATTCATATTCTGTACACATACCACGTATATTGTAGAGATGCACTGGACTATCGCCTTTAAAATATATATTCTTCTCATAAGTGCCGCTGTCTGTCCCGTTCAAAGGCTTGTACCAACCATCAGGTCCACCTGCGAAGCCCATTATCAGCTTGTAGTCTCCAACCCTGTGAACAACAAACTTCAGTCATCTTATCAACTGTGCACTAATACCAATTGATTGGTATGAAGTGTTAGAAAACACTTAGTACTGTGTCCAAATAGTGGAGCCAATCTCCCAAAGTCCTACATCGCAGTTTGTAGGTACAAACAAATGCTACAGTACTATTACCGTTCATTGCTTGTGTTGATATATACTGAGTCAAACAAGAGATGGTAAGATGGTTAAGTTGTTATTATTTCATTGCTGAGATCTGTGTGGTGTACTCGATACACTGACAGTGCCATAATCAGTTCCATTAGGCTACACCGCCGTTCCAAAACATGGATATACAGAATGTCAAGTCACAAGAATAAAAATGCGAAATTTCTCAGTTCAATATGGTGTATGACCGCCCCGAGCATTCACCACTGCTAAACACCGTCTCCTCATCGACTGCCTGATGCTTGTGAACACGTGGTTAGGGATTCTGCGCCATTGCTCTTGCAAGGCAGCGCCAAGTTCCTGCAAATTCTGAGGTTGGTTCCTAAGACCACGAAGCCTTCTCCCAAGTTCATCCCAAACGTGCTCTATTGGATTAAGGTCAGTGGACCTCGATGGCCAGTCCATGACGTTGATTCCAGCGTTTTGAAGGAAATTTCGTGTCAACATCGCGGTATGCGGCCGAACATTATCATGCTGGAACTGTAGACCTGGGCCATGAGCCGCCATGAAAGGAACGAGTTCAGGGGTGAGCACCTGGTCGCAGTTAGCAGCAGCTGTGAGGTTTCCACGGATGACCAGAAGTCGGGAACGGTTGTTCCAACAGAAAGCACCCCACACCATGCAACTTCCGCCCCCGAATCTGTCGACTTCCTGTACACAACATTGGGCATACCGTTCACGACGTCGTCTCCAGACTCTGTTCCTGCCGTCCGCGAATCTGAGGGTAAACCTGGATTCATCGCTAAAGACGACTCGATTCCAGTCTCTCTGGGTCCATCGGAGGTGACGTTGGGCCCACAGCAGACGTTGACGTTGATGAAACGGCGTCAATATTGGCCCACGATATGGACGTCGAGAATGGAGATTGGCAGCCCGCAACCGATTTCGAATGGTCTGTGAGGACAGTCGACCTCTAAACATCTCAGCCCTGGTTCGTGTAGCCGGCAGAAATCTGTCACGTAGGTGACGTAGGACGATTTGACGGTCTTCTGCTCGTGACGTCTATATATTCGGCTAGTGGCAGATCTCAAAGAGCGAACGTGAAACGTGATACCTTATTCCAGCATGGCCCTCCACTGCAGGTTCAAAGTTGTCAAGATTGTATATGAACTCGGTTCTTGACGACAGTAAGCCATTCCTGATGGATTCCCAGTGGCTTATACCATCGATTGACGTCTCTACAACACGGATGGATTAGCTGACATTAACGGCATCATTTCTAGCAGTAAACAGTAAATATGATTCATTCTCCTTTAAACACTTTATCATCAAATGTTCTCCTCTATTCTTTCTGCTAAATCTGATATAAAATATATATTTCCAAAGAGGAGATTACCTAAAGTCATTATGTTTACTGAATTGCTTTGCAAGGCTTATGATTCACTCTAAAACCGTGGTGGGAAGATGGCAGTTTAAGGCACTCTCGTAGATTGATGCTGGTGTTAATGCAGTTGACAGGTATGTTTTCATTGTTGACGCCTATACACCAGTGTTCCAGCGTGCGGCTGACACAGGTTCTGCTGTGGGAGACTGTCTAGGCTCAAGTGAAGATGAAGGTGAGAAATATTCTACCGTGGTCCATACTGGTCGTCAGGGGCCACCAAACGCTCACTATTGCTCAGTGCAAGGATAAACAGTTACTACAAACAAAGCAAGATGCCCAGATTACCAGGAGATCCACCAGCCGCTGTCACTAAGGTGGGCTTCCAGTCTACAGCATGCATCATTCTGTAACAACATGTGATTATTTCAGTGTTTGTACCTTCTATCCTTCCCAGTCTCGTTAACATACTACGTCTAGCATGCCTGTCTCCTTTAAAGTAATAACTTTCCACTGATACAATACATTGATGGTGTCTTCGAACCCATGGTAAGGAAGTGTTTGTGATCTTGCATACCGTCCCGTTTCTTTAATCAAACATCCCCCCCCTCCCTCCCCCCAAACCCAAACCCAAACATTTGAAATACTAACATTCTTCTAAAAGATGTCTGACAACAATTTGATGACGTCAACGAACCCATTGTAGGTTGTCTTGGTTTTCTTCAGTCCAGCACCGTACATGAAGGATGCTCCTCTGGTGCCCCCCTCCCAGATTGTGTGTTTCCCTCCTCTCAGAGGCCAGTTGCTGGCAGAGTTTCCAACAGGACCACCGTTCTGGAGTGATGGATATAAATGTGTTCACACTGAATGTTTCACTATAGGTATGTCATTATTTAACATTAGAATGAAATGTGATTGCTAATCAGCATATCCTGCACAGTCAATAATACAAAATCACAGCCGTTGGGGTATGATTACCAATTATAGTATTTAACGTTCTCCATGTCCTTTCATATGGTGTGTGTGTTCTGTACATGCGTTAAATACAGTCCTTACATCGGTTGTGAACAGAATAAGTGTGTTTTCAAACAATCCCCCTCTCTTTAAGTGCCTCTGTAACGTTTCCAACTGCTTCGTCGAGGGCAGAAACCATCCCTGAAGATATAAAATATCAGCATAACATTCTGAAAACAAAGTTTTACATTAGAACATGTTTTCAGTTTTATCATTTAATCCCTATTCCGACATTTCAGACTCAAGTTGTATCTGGTTATCGGCAACAACTGCGGTTATGCCATTTGTAAACCTAATTTGTTTTGATGCAGCCTTGCGATCGTCCCCGACCTCCTGCGTTATCCAATACAAGACGGAGATTGTATATGGAGTAGGTGGTATTACAGTTTGAAAAACAAACAAACCAAAAAGCAAGAGTACCTGAGAATGTTCGACGGCCTGGGTTCATCACATTAGGATACATGTTGTAGTACTTTTCAGGAACCTGAATATAAAACGACTGGCGATTATGAATGTGCATGGGTATCGCTGAAACAGACGTACTGACTGGGCTTGTGCTGTTTTATCAGAACTTAAATTACCTCTCAGCATTTCTGCATTCCTCTCTGACGAGCCATGGTTTTTATAAGCCTTTATGGTTTTATGTCTCTATGAATAAGAACTTCTTACAGAGATTACAGTATTATTCTTGTGATGAAAGAGTGAGTGAGTGTGTTAAAAGATTACATCGCATTGGCAATATCACAGCGACATAGCGATTAAAACAAGGTAATCAATTTAAAATATATGTCGACAAAGGACAGTAAAAGCAGCTAGACTATCACAGATATATATTTAAAACTAGTAATTAAACCTAAAATACTTTAACTATAGAGGACGATACAAGATAAAATTAGACTATAGATTGCCAACAACTGAAGGTAGATCACCATACTAGGGACCATGTGGGCTTACAGTACCTTTGCTACCTGCATGGACCCTAGTTGGATTTACACCATCCCTTCAGCCGCTGGCGATTGTAGGAAATATTTAGCCAACTTTAAAAGAACGAAGATACTATGTTTTAAAAATATGGTAAGTTTAAATTTAGCTTTGAAAGGTTTGGGACTTAGGTACCCTCTCAGGTGGACAATAATTTTGCAATACTTCAACCCCGTTTAAGGGTACAGCCACTAATAATCTCAGTTACTAATCCAAACTACCAATAATAAAATATTTATCTATTTACAAACTATTCATCAAAATGTATCTAATAATTCTATTTCTTTTAAAAGTTCAATAATAACATGAAAATAAACAGTACTAAACAGATCCTTAACAGTTTTTACATTGAAATACTTATCCCTTGTAATGGAAAAATCAATACAGTCATGCAGTACATGCTTGACTGTGATTCTTTCATCACAAGGGATACAAAACGGAGGATCCTCACCTTTTAACAGGTATTCATGAGTATATCTAGTGTGGCCAATACGACATCGTCGCATGATGACCTCTTCAAATCTGGACTGACAACCCAAGTAGGTGTAACCAATATAGGGTTTTATTGCATGTAATTTATTGATACCTACTTCGGTGTCCCACTTTTCTGCATCAGATCACGGATGTAAGTTCTAATGCTAGCTTTGTAATCAGAGTATGGGATAGGAAGTGGCGTCTAAGATTTGTTGAGTGCTGCCTTAGCAGCAAAATCAGCCATTGTGTTCCCAAAAATACCAACATGGCTGGGTAACCAACAAAAGACCATGTCATATTGGCAATTAGCAAGATCATTGTATAGTTCAATAATCGTAATTTAAAGTTGATGTTTACAAGAACGTTTTTAATAGCCTGAAGCCAAGAATGAGAGTCTGAAAATATGATATATTGGACAGGCTAAAAGAGTGTGACATAAGATGCACATTTGGCTTTTGATGAAACAGTCCAAAATTTACCTCAAGAGGTTGATGTACATTCTGATAGGGCAGGTACATAAACAGAGGCTGGGAAACATTGTGTTGATGGATGATGTCAATAGCTTTCTGGGCGAATGTATACTGAAACAGAAAGACAGAATTAGAACTTCAAATACAATTTTCCACTCGGCTTCTCCCATGAAATCCCGGAACCAGGAATGCATTGGTAAGAAGGTACACCCTGCTCTATTATGTCATACGAGAGATCATTGCTAGTGTCGACCGCTATGATATTGCTGGAGTATTGCCAGAAGGGACAAAAAAACAACATGCCCTCGCAACTATACCTGTTTCTTGTGCAAAAATACTATATCTAAAAACACATTTTCTCCTTTGGTGAACGTTGACACCTTCCTGCCTAACACTGACTAAAGTCTCCCTTACTTATAAATCCGGGAATGGTTATTTCAGACGAGAGACACAAGGACGAAAATAGCCTTAGACGCAACGTTTATTCAGAATATTTGCTTTCGATATTGTGTGCATTTCATGATTCGAGTTCGGTTTGTTTTCCTACGCTGCAGGTAGCTGTTCAGTTTATCAACATTAGGATCAGGAAAGTAGTGGCTGCTACAAACTGGAAACCAGGATATGATCACAAAGACCCAGTATGACAATGGTATTCATTCTATAACCTCTTACGGCAGGAATACAGTGTTGGACATCAATCTAAACCAGGCTTACCTGTGGTTGTTTGCAGGTATTCTGTCAAACACACCAACAAAACGTCTGACATAGAATGATCAAAATGTTTGCTCAGACGAGTGCATTACTCTGAAACATTCTCGTCCAATATCGATTTACACACATCGTCAAAAACAAAAATTAGTGTCTGTCAGAAAAGAGAGTCGGGCCGAAACCACAAGCAATGGATTGTGTTACCGAACATCAAAGAACAGTTCTTTCGAAGAAACGATAAGAAAATAGAAACTATAATCGTCTATGGCGACAGGGACTATGCTAAATACATATGGTTAAAGTATGGTTGCTGTCAAAAGTGACTTAGTAACTTCGTACATGTTTCTTAGGGTCAAAATGGCCAGCTTCTGTCTATATCTGGAGTGACTTTCACTTACACGGATCTTGTGTTAAGCTCATTTCTGGTGTTTCCAACCATTAAATAGCTATAATATGGTGACAAGCGGCGTAAAACCTCACTCACAAACTCACCCTTACATGGATCACATTAGCAAGTCGATTACTCATACTCGAGATTAGACGCTCTATCCTCAACTTGGGACTCCAATGTCTGGGTCAGGTTATGGAGCATCTGTGGTGGAAGTGCTCTACTGGGTATAGATCTGAACTTGAGCAGACCAAGGTAATGTCTCTATGGCATTGTTCAGAAGCTGTTCTGTAACAGGTCCCGCATGCTGGAGTCAAGCGCTGTCGCCAGTGGATGATTAATCAAAATGTGGCACGACATGATCTTCAAATATGGTAATTTTGCGCATTTAATGCCCCCGAACTGTCACCATGTCAAGCATACAGACATGCGGACAGCAGCCCCATATCACGACACCACCAAATCACATAGTTTCCTATATGTTGCGTGTTCGATAAACCGCACCCCTTTCGCTCCAGTGCTCCCTGCTCAACACCAGGCTTGTTTGTTTTGAGGTCTTAGAACAGGATGTCGCATTGGTCTCCTACCCCCTTAATGCTACTGCATTGAGTCGAGGTGTAAAGGTACAAATGGACACTATATTGTTAGTATGCCAGTGACCACGAAGGACAGTGCACGCTGAAGTTGGCAAAAGTCTTGCCTGGCAGACCAGGACTTGGTCGTCTCTGGCACTGGTCTTCCGTGGATGTCCAGATGTCTGCAGAAACGGCACTTGCCCAGTCATGTGGCGTTTGCGAGGGAGTGAATATTGCTTAAGCCGCGTCACCAAGTTGCCAATGAGCCTGCTGATTACAGTGTTATTAACGTTCAAGACTGATTCATCAGCCTTACTTGACATCTCGGTTTGGTGCATGCCAGTGATCTGCCATCTATGATTTTCAGGTAGTTCACTTCTTCAAGTGTTTGCAAAGTAAGATCAAAAGATCGGTAGCACATTCAATCACAGTCAGTGACAGCAAAGTTTGCTAAACGATGAAACTTTAATGTTAACAGTATGAGCCAAGAGTTGTGCACAGGGATTACTTTAATTTGTGGAAGTTCAGGTGTCTACCATTCCACATGCAGGTTGTGTGGCATTACACCGAATGCCAATTGAGTAATATTTGGGCCACATGGTATTGCAATTTATCTTTACATTGTGGTGGAATACTTTTGACGAGGTGAATATTTACTTAGTTTCAGCCCTTTTTTGTACATTACTCACAGCTGAATACTCTCCCCTGTAATCCCAAGCGGGAAGTTTGTTATCTCGGTAGTCCAAATAGCCACCTGCAAATACATAACTGAACACTGATATACACCATATATGTCTCTATATCACATATATTCTCCTCACGACATTATTTGCATGCAGCTATTACAAACGCCTAAGCACATTCTTGATTTGCCTGCATTGAAGTCTAAATAAGCACCTGAAGAAATGAGCCCTGACATATTATGTGTAGGACATTTCTCAACTGCCCCAGTTCGTTGTACTGACATGTCGATTAGAAAAGGGTTAACGTCTTACTGTTTTAAGGAATGGTGTTGCATTTATTTCGTCCAAAAATTTAAACAGTGATATGTGGTGATCAACTATGAGAAAATAGCCCTACGTCATTCACAAATTGTGGCTGGCGTGAACAGGAGTTAGGGATATAGAGTTGTCTTGTAACATGTATTAATGTACTTGCCTTTGCTGTGATTGAAGTAGTCCTCCGCTGCACTGTAGTAACCGAAGAAAGTATCGAACCCTCTGTACGTTGGTGTACACTCCCATTTACAGAAACCCAGGTGCCACCTTGAAAACGTCATAACAAACGTTTGGAGGAAGTTGCGTTGAACAGCATTGTAAATTGTTAACATATTTTGGAGCCACTGATATCCTAACGTCAATGTGTTTAGCTCACTATTTGGCCGCCTACGCTAGCGTAAGGCTTAACCCACAGAGGAACCAGACCCTAATTGTAAATAGGTTTCGATGTACGTGAGTATTCATACATGTGAAGACAGTTTGCCTGCATAAGCACCTACAGATAAAGTTGAACCAAAGTAAATTTGATGAACATAAACTATTATATCATTATATCATTCACCCAGTCAGACTGGCAGTATCGCACTCTACAGAAACGGTTGTACTATGAGTTTGCTGGACATACTTGCCGACCATATGTGTGGCGTATCCGAGTTTCTTCAACTCTTGTGGCAGGAAGGTGTAGTTGAGAGGGACACAAGCAGCCTGACTATCAATCAGAACTTCGTGCTTCAATGTGAGATATAAAAGGCCGCATTACATGACAGCAAAAAGTCAAAAGCCGTTTCATAAAACCTTATGTGCGCCATTATCATTAAATTTCAATATGTGTTGCTTAACATAAATGTTATTTATAAGAAACAGGCAATCTTTCCTTTCACTCACCTGCATTCCCACCTTAAATGGAAACATTCCACTCATGAAGGCCGTGCGAGACCTGTAAACAATCATAGGGGACCATGATGTATCTAACATCACACACACCAACAACCACAGTAGATACGGTCTTCTAATCTAGAAAATTCTTCCTTTATATTATTTATAATTTTCAGCTTTGAAAATCCGAGGCAGATCATTCTACAATCACTCTTTGACTATTTATATATTTAGTATGTTCCATTGATATGTAATTTGTTTGGATACGATTGTATTATATGTGACTTTCGGTTTGCATAAAAACAAAAGTAATGGATATTTACGGGCTACAAAAAGGCTGGACATATGCGCTCTCAAAGATGATCCCCTCTGTTGCCAGTTTGTCGATGTTAGGAGTCTTCATGTTTGGGTTTCGGAAACCAACATCGTACCATCCTTATTGTGATAAAAATTAACATGAAATGATGTGGCTACATAAGTGTCACTGACGTTTAACATACAATCATAGCACAAAATCAATCCGCTGGTTATTAGTCTTATTAATACTCGACCCGTGAAGATCCGGGTAAGAATTGATCTTCAGTAGCCCATGCTTATCGTAAGAGGCGACTAACGGGATCGGATGGTCAGGCTCACTGACTTAGTTGACACATGTCATCGTATCCCAATTGCGTAGATCAATGCTCATGCTGATGATCACTGGATTGTCTGATCCAGACTCGATTATTTACAGACCGCCGCCATATCACTGGAATATTGCTGAGTGCGGCTAAAAACTAAACTGACTCACTGATCATTACTTACAACGGCCTACGTTTATGGTGTATGTTAATAGCCGAGGACGAATACATAACGGTTTTCGTGATCACATGTTCCTTCAGCTGATGCACGTAAATCTGTTTGTTACATATATTACACGACCCGGTCTAACCTGATTATTTTACATGATAAAGAAAATGAATAAAACAACTTAGGCATTCAGTGAGCAAAACATACTCACCTAAATCATCTGCAACTATGAAGACAATATTGGGGGGTTGTGTTGCCGCACAAGACACAAGAACCGAGAGGAACAGAAGGATGAACTTCTCCATTACCACGGTGATGTGTAAGTGATTACGACACAGAAGTTATGTTCACATTTTACAGGTGGCCTTCGCTCGCTTATCACTTAGAATGATAGGAACGTATATTGTATGTGATATGTAGATATTGTGATGGACAGGTCCTCAAGTGTGTCAATACCTCAACCTGTAATCATTCAGTCTTCAGTCGGTCTAGCCAGGTACGCGTAATATTCCATGACTGATCTCTGATTACTTTATCAATCTCGGTCAAACTGCATAAAGCGATCCAACTTCTGACTCTGTAATCAGTTACAGTGAGAGCTTGTATATTGTCACGCCACTCGTTTATTTAGATACGATTAAACGTCGCCAGTACATGTTATTGTACATATACTATTGCTCATTCAAGAAGGTCCGGGTTAGAATTGCTCTTCAGTAACCCATGCCTGTAATACTAGGCGACTAACGGGATTGGGTGGTCAGGCTTGCTGACTTGGTTGACACATGTCATCGTATCCCAATTGCGTAGATCGATGCTCCTGCTGTTGATCACTTGATTGTCTAGTCCAGACTCGATTATTTACAGGCCGCCGCCATATAACTGGAATGTTGCTGAGTGCGGCGTAAAACTAACTCACTCACTCATTCAGGGGTGACATTGGAATTATTTGTTTATATCATCAGAATAATCATTAGACGTTATATAGTTTTCATCCTTATTTAACCTACAGTTTGTGGTCAACATGATCCTTCATATTCATCAGACAGAAGACAAAGGGTAAGTTGTTTGTGAACAAAAATGTCCCTGTATTAGTTGTCCTCATCGTTATTTATTTCATATGATGTTCAATTGTTTGCTCATTGTGCTATATACAGGAAACACCTACACATGGTAAAAGAGAAGAAAATGACTCTTTCTCGTATGGAAACTTGAAGATACGGATAGCCTAAAACACCAAAAATCATATTTCACGGTTCTGCAGAAAATCGGACCACATTTTCTATAATTTAGTATAAGAGCTGTGATGTTTGCAAGAGACATCGCATGCTGTCATCATTATAGGGGACCCCGCCGCCCATATAAGGGGTAAAATCCCCACAGAACCGTTAGTACCCTGACCCCTGGGCTGTAGCATTTATTAGCTTGGCTGTCAAGTGGTACGTAATGGGTTTGTGTTAATATGCTTTCTTGTTTGAGTGTTCTTTCTGAAATGACATATATCGGGTGCAGGTTCTATGGAATGAAATGCACCGAATCCGTGCTATAATTGCAATCCAGACCTCAGGAATATATGCTTCCATCGAAACTATGACGAACGCACTCAATCTGAAATATTATCCCTAAATCGAATGCGACCATTATTATGATGATGTCGTACCTTGACAACACAACAATTGACTGCCACAACAATTGAAGCACGTGCAAGGCATGGTATGCCAGATATACCATTCACTCAGAGCAGAGGCATTAGGTCAGATACCTTATTAAACACGTTCATCATAGTGATGAATCCAAGCGATCCCACGTCACGTGTGGTACCCATTACAAACAGGCGCAAAGACAAGTCAACTGTTCACAAGAGACAGCAACACGCAGACATATTTCCAAGGATGTACAATTCGACACATGCACAGATTACTACTTTGTCATCGTTACATCAGAATGTGACTTCTTTGCACTGTACGTCTTTGTACTAATGAAAAACAGGCGGGATGAACTTTTTTTTACAGAATTTATAACAATAATTGATTTTTTTCATTGGGCGTGTTTTTCATAAAGTCATGGCCCATGTGACATAGCTGAAAAACTACTGGCTGCTTCAGTAATGTCCTTAACCAAATATTGTTAATTTGATCACTTGCAAAAAGTAAAGTGCAGATTATATTACTTCTTTGAGATCAGTCCTATTCGGGATTCGAACTCAAATCGAGGCACCAACACCCCAAAACTGGAAGTTCGGCTGGCGTAACTCTTGACCACGTACTTTGAGTACGTCTCTGATGTGTGTACATTGGCAGACATTCTAATACTTTGTAGTTGTTCGTATAAATATCCTTTTTGATAAGTTTGAAACGGAGTAAACAAAATGACGATTTTCATTTTGCACATTCGTACAGAGTAAAAAACACACTTTATGGCATGATTCATAATTATGTAGTAATGTTGACATATTCACTTTAGCACCATCCGGGACTCCAAACATCTCCAAACTTTCTGGGGTCAGATGCAGGATCCGGGTCGGGGAAGTTGGCTGGCACCATCGTCTTCTTGTAGTCCTCAAACCGGGCACGCAACTTGGCAACCATGTCTGGCATCTGCTGTGCAAGATCATTGTGCTCAGTCGGATCCTCTGAATGTGAATTAAAATATATGGAAATATTTGGGGGTGGAGCTGTAATAGTATTCAGTGTAAGGGTGATCAGTTTGCAGGAGTCAAGCAACAGTAGTCAGTTCTTGTGAGCTAAAAACGTGCATTAACCTAGGTATCACCCATAAGCGGGTAGTTCCAGCTATAACAAGAGGAATTGGGGCCATTATACCTGGGAATTGTCACTGAAGCAGTACATATTCACGTTAATGGCTCTGTTTACTATGCATCAAAGAGATTTACCAGATAATGAACGTTAATTCAAGTTCAGAAATAGTATATGTCAATATGTACCTCGAATGTTGAAGAGCTGGACTGGCAGATCTCCTTTGAGGTAAACTCTCTGTTCATATTTGTCGTCCTCGGTCCTGTTCATGGGTCTGTGCCAGCCATCAGGACCTCCAGGGTATCCGAGGATCAGCTTGTAGTCTCCTACTCTGATACACACGGATGCAGCCATGGGCATTTCTTTGCTTTTCTGATAATGAGTGTATTTGGGGCAATTCTGATTCTGTGATATTGCTTTTGAACCAGGATGTCATGTGAATATGGAAATTGCCTTGGGGCTGCTTATCATGAAAATTCACGGAAGCTCAAGGATCGTGTCCTTGTAGAATTCCATATACACGTACTTAGAATATTTTTTCGCTTGACTAAAAAGTTTAACATACCTTATTCCAGCATGACCTTCGTCTGGGAATTCAAAGTCGTCAATGTTGTAGATGAACTCTGTCCTTGACGACGGGAGGCCGTATCGAATAGAATCCCAGTGACTCATTCCATCAATGGTTGTCTCTGTACCCCAGACACATTTCGTGATACTTTGCCGTTAATATTTCGAAACAGTATATACCAAACGACATTCACAAAATCATATGACTCATTCTTTGTTCTTACAGAATACATTTCATTACAGTTGAGACACTATCGTGTAATAGTTTCTACCTGGAGTTCCCCCAGCTGCAGACACTATAGTAGGCTTCCAGTCGACAGCGTGGATCATCCTGTTTAGGTAGAAACGTTTTACATTTACAATAAGCCACACGCGTAAATCCGCCAAACACTGACTACAACATTTCAAATAGTTTTGGTGTATGTATTCAATAGTCAGTGGGTGTTATAAAAAGATGCAAGGGGTATCATGTACTGTCATGTACTGTAATTACTATAATGAGTTTACAGCATTTGAGCTGAGATCCGGACTTTTATAGAGTAATAAGCCTTATACTGAAGAGTCCAGCATTCAAAATGATATAATTGGAACATATTCAGTGGAACATGTTTTCGAAAATACTGTTATTGTCATTGATGTAATTGTATTCTATGCTGTTACCCATCGTATGTCGTCTTCGTTTTCTTGAGTCCAGCACCATATATGAAGGACGTCCCTCTCGTGCCCCCCTCCCAGATCGTGTGTTTTCCCCCTCTCAGGGGCCAGTTGTTCGCATACCATTCAATTGGACCGCCATTCTGAATGATCAATGGTTTATTCTAAGGGAGGATGATATGATGACTAGTTTGATGAAACATAACTGTCCAGAAAACAAAATTCCTAATGTGCATAAAATGCATCTGTGTGTATTTAATAAATTAAAACAGATATGTAAATATATCCTGATGTGAAAGTTTATTGTTATAATTGACAAGAGGTAATATTGTTAAGGGTTAATAATCAATTATATTTAGCGAGACCTTCAGGCTGATTAATTAGTAAGTGTATACATACATGTCCACAGAGTACAAGATACAAGCATCATTCTCTATGAAATGGATTGAAAATTGTTGAGACCAGAGCTACTTACATCTGCAGTGAATAAAATGAGAGTATTATTAAACAAGCCCCGATCCTTCAGGGCCTTGGTGACATTTCCAACAGCCTCATCCAGGGCAGACACCATTCCTACAGGAAATTATAGTAGTGGGTCAGTATTTCGATATGTCCAGGTGTGTGACCTTTACGCGGGTGTTTTATCAGTAGGAATGTAGGACACGAACGCCATATCCCCTTATGCATAATGGACATGATTCTGATGCAATTCAACTCAAGAAAAGTCTTTAAAAATTCAGAATCCTTAACGTACATACCACTGAAAATTCTTCGCCCTTCATTAATCACATTCAGGTACATGTCCTCATACGTCTTAGGTACCTGTGATATCCAATAGTGATGTTAACACATTAACAAAGGATGCATCCGGGATTCTGAACAATTACATATCCATCACAATCCGATAAAGGTTATATAAATTTTAATGAATAATGCAAGGCCAGTATAAACTTGTAAGTGTAAACTTGGCTGAAATTATGCCAATATATTAACTCACTCACTCCATGCTAGTATGAACTCCCTTATCTCCTCCACTTTGTTCTGTGATGTTATGATGTTACAAACGGTAACGCATTATCCATAATGAAGAGTCCAAAGAGAATCGTTTGAAATGTATGCAAGTAGCCTATTAAGGGTTAAATCATCTAAACTTATGTTTGCCGTTCTGTTTACTGTCACAGTCCGCCACAAAGAGAAATGATTGGAATTCAACACATTCATGTACCTGAATAGGCGCATGTACATTCTGGTATGGAAGGTACATAAACAGTGGCTGTGAAACGTCATGTCGGTTGATGATGTCAACGGCTCTCTGGGCAAATGTGATCTGAAATAAATACAGTAACTTACAGCACGTTTATGCAAAGAAAAGTCACCTCGAAGATTTGAAAGAATGCATTTTGTGAAATATTGTGTATGGTGTGAAAATTGTTATCTGACATATTTTCACAGTCAATCGGCATTGTATACTTACAGCAGAATATTGTCCTGAATAGTTCCTTGCCGGAAGGGTATTGTCTCTATAATCTAAGTAGGGCCCTGATGAAAAACAAAATATTTAGGCTGTTATATATCTGCGTTCATGCACACCTTTAAAACCAGAACCTTTGACCTTAAATTAAGCTTCAAAACAACCTGACTAGTGGAATAATACCCACCAACAGTGTGATTAAAGTAGTCTTCATGCGCATTATAGAATCCAAAGTAACTATCGAAGCCTCGGTAGGTTGGTGTGCACTCCCACTTGCAGAAGCCTAGATGCCACCTAAAAGAGAAGTGCACATTATGCTTGTACATGTTCCTCCTGATAATCATATGTGCACATTGATGAAAATAACTATTAGAAATATTCCCGCACTAAACTTGCAGAACACAAAATGACGTCTGAAATAAGAGTACACACATTAAATGTACGTACGTTTATGTATGTGAATGACAGCGGTCTATATACAACAGAGGTTATATTGTTGCTGTGTATGCTGTACGTTTTCTCGGTTTATCGGGTTTTTTCCTCCCTTTAATCCAACATAATACCTACTTTCCGATCATGTGCGTAGCATAGCCGAGTGCCTTTAGTTGCTGGGGTAGGAAGGTATAGTTGAGGGGCACACACACTGCTTGGTCAGGGAACACCGTCCTATGCTGAAGATAAATGGGTTTTGTTCGATGACCTTATATACTCATATATTTTCTTGAAAATGGGCATTCCGATCTTTACGCAAACATACATTATGTCAATAACAGTGAATGATGCATTTCTTCCAGGAGGTGTGAACTCAATCATCACCTGGTTACCTCAAAAAATGCAGGAGGTGATAGTTCAACCACTATATTCTTTAGCACCGAGGCTACTCCTGTAGGAGTCAGAGGTATTGTATGTCCTATTGTAACATATCATAACTGTGGCTCCTTGAGACCATAGACTGATATCCACATTATCGTAATGGTCCTTACATGTCAGAACTGTGATTTTACATTAGTGCCAGTCTTTTCTATGTTTTTTGTAACTGCATACCATCCACAGCATAAAGGTTTTAAGAAAATATGGGCATTACCTTTTTGGCTGAAATATCGTCGACGTGACTAAGTATAAGTGTCTGTGACTAAGTATGAGAGTCTGATGTAATATGTCATTATGTAATTTAACCTGGCAGTTCACACATGACTGTGAACTGATCATGGTAATAAAGGAACGATACAATTACCTGTGTACCTGCGTGGAATGGATACATTCCACTCATAAAGGCGGTACGTGATCTGAAACAACGACTGTATTTTGATACTAGAATAATGCATAATTAATCATAAATGCTATATTAAAGAGAGAGGAAGAAAGTTCAACTAAGAACTAAAGTACTGGAGCACTGGGTTCATTCTTCTGACCATCTGTGGTTGTTACATATTTAAAGATTTGATTCTCCATTACAAATCGTAACATTGTTATTATAATGTACATGTAACAATGTATGTGGTTCATCTCCTTTACTACTTTGAGGACTGACTGACTGAGTTTGGTTTTACGCCGCTTTTAGCAATATTCCAGCAACATCACGGCGGGGGACACCAGAAATGGGCTTCACACATTGAGCCCATGTGGGGATTCGAACCCGGGTCTTTGGCGTGACGAGCCAACGCTTTAACCATTAGGCTACCCCACCGCTCCACTACTTTGAGGAAACGTCTGCTAAATGGTCTTCTACTCCTGTCACAACACAGTTATAAGACGGACAATCTTCTAATTCATGGTTTGGAGGTTATGTCTGCTGTAAGTTATTTGAGTCATATAATTGTATTATCTCAGTCGATGTGGTTTCATATATTTTCATTTAAGCTGAGGATGCAACAATATGTCATATTTACGGGCTGCACAGAGGCTGGACATATGCATTTTCGAAGATGATTCCTTCTGTGGCCAGTTTGTCGATGTTTGGGGTCTTCATGTCAGGATTCCGAAAACCAACATCATTCCAACCTGTTTAAACACATCGACTCGCCTGAATAGTCAGATGTGTAGACTATACACCACTGTTATCATCTTTACTTTAAAAACAGGACACATTTAGAATGACGTACGTTTCTGTAGACACTTTCTTACTTCCTGCACTATATACACTCACCTAGGTCATCTGCCACAATGAACACGATGTTAGGACGCTGTGCTGATGACCATGATGGGAATAACAGGAATACAACAAAGAAAAGACCAGCCTTCATCGCGTTTGCTGGTTCAGCTGTGTTTAAGCCGTTTGCTGCCTAGATCTTTCAGTAAATCTTTACTTCCACCCTTGACCTACATACTCAAGTGCATATTTTCTGAGATACGTTGAAACGTAACACCAATATAAGGGAACGTTGAAGAGCTTTATATAAATGGAAACATAACATGTGACATAAAATGAAACAGTTTGAGATATCAGTACTCTCACTCACTCACCAATAGAATGGTTACAACAACTTTTACACACATTCCTTGGAGAAAGATAAATGTGATGACATAGTTATTGTAGGCCATTTCACAAGGGTATGGCTAAAATGAAAACTGACATATTATACTGATAAAATGTCATAACTTGTTAATGTGCTGCGACCACATACAATCTAAGAAAGAAAGGTATTAAAACCTAACAATATCTTGTGACCAAGTACAATCTCAAAAAACAAGTTGAAAGTTTTTTACTGTGCGTACTGTATTTGAATTGCTGATACAGAGATGAAGCTTAGAGTGATGATTGTCACATGATCTGATGATACAATTGCAGTACCGATTGTCCTGTTACAAAAAACGTACGTTCAAGATGGGGTCGTCCCGATCAGTACCTGCGTGACCAGCGTGTGCCGGTATCACTGTTCTACATTTCCTAGTCTATAGAGTCTATTCTGTAGAATTCTCCACGATTATTCCTGCAATGTGTAGGCCAGTGGTGCAAGTGCCTGTGACATATGTTGACATTGATGCACACAATTATCGATATTATCCCACTGATGCTCTAGATTCGGAGACACTAACGTTGGAATTATGAAGAATACCAAAAGCCAATAGGAAGATTTATGTCGATGTCCCGATTTGCTTTCAGATTCCTCAGAACCACCATCAAGCCGGATGTCTGTGTACGTGATCTGGCACACATCCTCCAACGGATCGAAAGCGGTTTAATGTAGAACGTTCACTTCGACGTAGGTAGACACGCCGTTTTCCATGGAAAGAAATCTTACGTCGATGCAAAGGTCTCAATACAGGAATAAATACCACTGTTCGTGGTCTAGCCCCTGGCAGTTGATTCCTATGTACTTGGTCTTGCCATCAAGTATTGGTGACAATATCATTTTGATGACGTCAATGAAAGACTCGGATTTAGTACCGATCGTGTTCAGGGATGAAACTCTTGCTTTATAACTTCTCGGACGATCTTGGGTTGAATACAGGCGGGTATACCAATTCCAGAAACGATATAGGGTGTCCTGGTTAACGTTGAACGGACCTTCGGCTGCAGCGTGCAGACATGTTCAAAATATATTGTGGTGATGATGCTATTGGTACCATTCAGGTTAGGCATTTTGCCATTCCAATGAGACGTGTTAAAAACTTGCAGTATCGAAATCCCCCAAAGCAATTAACCGGTACGTTTGCGCACTACGCCAGTTAATAAGCATGTGAAAACGATCGGTCGAACAATATATTGTATTCATACTGAATGTCTCATGCATATACAAAATCAACATTCTCATATTCTCTTCATATGATAAATTCAAATTACTCATCAATCCTTTGCTGTCATGTGAAATCATTAAAGAACTTACTTAATGTTTTTTTCATTCTATGTTCGCCCAATGTACAAATGAAAATATTAAATCAATCATATATTATATGCAATATTATATGTACATGTATCTCAAATTATTCACTTGATTGTGTATATAATCATGTAATACCCTGTACCTTTCAACAAAAAATAAACGGATAAAATAAAAACACATTCTCATTCTCCCTCATACGGTTCTTTTCTGAAGAGTACTTGAAGTGAGTGTCTCAAATGGATCCTAAAGCACTTTGTTGTCGCCGGTCTTCACAACAGTCCAGCAATATCATGGCTGCATATCAAATGAGCAGATACAGCACGGAGTGATATTGTAATCACTGACTTCAGGTTGGGGTTGAGAAAATCCATGCCTTACTGTGTTAAGGTTAGGGCTGACTGACTGACTGACTGAGTTTAGTTTAACGCCGCTTTTAGCAGTATTCCTGCAATATCACGGCGGGGGACACCAGAAAAACACATTGTGCCCATTATCGAACCGGGGTATTCACGTGACGAGGAACGTAACCATTACCCCAGCTAAGGGCTGAGGATATAAAAGAGTACTAAGTGCAAATTAGCCTACACAAACATATTGTATCATCTGCTTCACCGAGGGAACGTAATTACAGCAAGTGGCTTTCAATCTTCAAAATAACTCTATTCTTAGAATGGAAGTTGGGATATGAGAAACGATCATGCATGGTTGATTCACGTCCCCATGCTCACAATGCCAGTCAGTACATATACATGTAGCAGGGATACTGCGTGAGTGTAGTATTCCAGCAATATCACGGCGGAGGACACCAGAAATAGGCTCCACACATTGTAACCATATGGGGAATCGAACCAGGGTCTTCGGCGTGACGAGCGAAGGCTTTAACCAGTATGCTACTCCACCGACCCTGACTGTTGTGATGAACATGATGAGTCGCAAACGTCGTGAGGTTCAGATTTGTTATGTTAGATTATTCAGGAACACACAGAAAACTGATTCATAATTGTTTTACAAATGTTGCCCAGCTTAGTGACAAACCAAGGAACAATATGTACGAAACCCGGATTCGGATTGGAGTTAGTTTTCTATTATCCATGCATGTTAAGGATAGGATGGTCAGGTTTGCATGGTAGGTGCATGTCAACGGCTTACATCCAACTCATGATGCCCTTCACTGGGTTGTCTGGATCAGACTCCATTATCTAGGACCTGACCTGAGATGAATATCGCATGTTGCAAGGAAACAAACACAACAAACAGAAAAAAAAAACAGAAAAGAAACAAACAAAAAAACAAAACTGAAACACCAACAGAATCATACATGTATTTGTTTATCGATAAAATATCTCCTCAACATCTTTCTATGCATCACACAGACTGCCAACCCATGTAGGTGTAACCGACATATTGTATTGCATGTATTATATTTGAAATACACAATGCCATTTTAGAAAGTGGTCAAATGTAACATACGTTATATTTGGGATTACACTTTCTTTGTAAAGTACAGATTCTAGTACTTTTTGAGTTGAGTCCCATCCGGGATTCGCACCCACACCCTCAGGGTCGGGCACCTAATCGTCAGCACACAAAGTCAGACGCCTACACCTTTCAGCCACCGTGGCTTCCACAAAAATGGAAGTCGGACAACTGGTAGTCTAGACTGCGGACTTTGTGTACCCCTCTGATAAGCGTTAATTGGCACGGCTCCCAAGACCGAAACCTATGAAATACACAATGCCAGTTTAGAAAGTGGTCAAAAGTAACAGTATATTTGGGATTACACTTCCTTAGTAAAGTACAGATGCTAGTACTTTTTGTGTTGAGTCCCATCCGGGATTCGAACCCACACCCTCAGAGTCAGGTACAGACAACCCGTCTAAGGTGTACCATGCCGTCATATGATTCCGTGGTACTTACGTTCCCATGGTATTTTCTAAAGACATAATTTCTCACGAGCCACTCGCCAAAATGCGCCACCTATCGATTGTTTACGTTCATCAGTTGATCGGCACGGGTCTGAGCAAAACATGTTCAGACTTTCATCAATTTGCGTACGTACAGTCATCTACTATTCAAAACAAATGCAACTTTATGTCTAGCACGTAATGCATGTTTTGTGCGATCTTTGCAAACATTTTCTATAAACTTACTTAGCTTCAAAGTTGTCCAAACATCGCTCGTCTGCTTGCTGATGTCATCAATAAACACAATCACGTGACCTAACGGGGGGAATCCCAGCTCTATTTTTTAAACTATAGAAGCCTGATAGGGTCAGCTCTTGTTTTTTCACTTTTCATTTCACGTATCCCGTATCAACTCTACATATTTTATGAACTGGAAATTTATGCTGAAGAAATGTGTCTGTTGTGTTAATTCTACAAAATCGTTTACTGTATTACAATTTATCAACTTCGATATTACTGTAAACCTACACTGACACTCCCGGATTGGCTGTTGACAACGTGTGAGATTGTGACATGTGCTGTGCGCCCGCAATTAGATCGGAGGGAAATACCACGGAAACATATGAACAGTTTCGGGAAGATTACAGCACAAGGTGAAAATCAATTTATGATAAATACTGAGATACCAGAGTCTTGGCATAGAGGCAGCACCTTTGTTGGTGAACGTTAAAGCTGACGATCCAAGGAACTGGATATTAAGGCCTCAACTTGTCTTGATATTTGCCCCAACAATTTAGCAGAGGTCACGAACCAAAAACATTATCCATTCGTCCAGAAACTTTGTCACCACAGATTAATGAAGGCCCTGATCCAATGGCTGTCATTCTCGTAGATCCTCAAATACCTTCGCAATGTTTCTGGACGCCAAAATATGGCTGCAGAGTGCAGACATGTTCAAAATATATTGTGGTGATGATGCTATTGGTACCATTCAGGTTAGGCATTTTGCCATTCCAATGAGACGTGTTAAAAACTTGCAGTATCGAAATCCCCCAAAGCAATTAACCGGTACGTTTGCGCACTACGCCAGTTAATAAGCATGTGAAAACGATCGGTCGAACAATATATTGTATTCATACTGAATGTCTCATGCATATACAAAATCAACATTCTCATATTCTCTTCATATGATAAATTTAAATTACTCATCAATCCTTGGCTGTCATGTGAAAACATTAAAGAAATTACTTAATGTTTTTTCATTCTATGTTCGCTCAATGTACAAATGAAAATATATTAAATCATATATTATATGCAATATTATATGTACATGTATCTCAAATTATTCACTTGATTGTGTATATAATCATGTAATACCCTGTACCTTTCAACAAGAAATAAAGAGATAAAATAAAACACATTCTCATTCTCCCTCATGCGGTTCTTTTCTGAAGAGTACATGAAGTCAGTGTCTTAAGTGGATCCTAAAGCACTTTGTTGTCGCCGGTCTTCACAACAGTCCAGCAATATCATGGCTGCATATCAAATGAGCAGATACAGCACGGAGTGATATTGTAATCACTGACTTCAGGTTGGGGTTGAGAAAATTCATGCCTTACTGTGTGTGTTAAGGTTAGGGCTGAGGATATATAAAGACACCAGAAAGTACTAAGTGCAAATTAGCCTACACAAACATATTGTATTATCTGCTTCACCGAGGGAACGTAATTACAGCAAGTGGCTTTCAATCTTCAAAATAACTCTATTCTTAGAATGGAAGTTGGGATATGAGAAACGATCATGCATGGTTGATTCACGTCCCCATTTGCCAAGATCCATGCTCACAATGCCAGTCAGTAGATGTACATGTAGCATGGACACTGAGTGAGTGTAGTATTCCAGCAATATCACGGCGGAGGACACCAGAAATAGGCTCCACACATTGTAACCATATGGGGAATCGAACCAGGGTCTTCGGCGTGACGAGCGAAGGCTTTAACCAGTATGCTACTCCACCGACCCTGACTGTTGTGATGAACATGATGAGTCGCAAACGTCGTGAGGTTCAGATTTGTTATGTTAGATTATTCAGGAACACACAGAAAACTGATTCATAATTGTTTTACAAATGTTACACAGCTTAGTGACAAACCAAGGAACAATATGTACGAAACCCCAGTAAGATTCGGATTGGAGTTAGTTTTCTATTACCCATGCATGTTAAGGATAGGATGGTCAGGTTTGCATGGTAGGTGCATGTCAACGGCTTACATCCAACTCATGATGCCCTTCACTGGGTTGTCTGGATCAGACTCCATTATCTAGGACCTGACCTGAGATGAATATCGCATTTTGCAAGGAAACAAACACAACAAACAGAAACAAAACAGAAAAGAAACAAACAAAAACAAAACTGAAACACCAACAGTATCATACACGTATTTGTTTATCGATAAAATATCTTCTCAACATCTTTCTACGCATCAGACTGCCAACCCATGTAGGTGTAACCGACATATTTTATTGCATGTATTATATTTGAAATACACAATGCCAGTTTAGAAAGTGGTCAAATGTAACATATGTTATATTTGGGATTACACTTTCTTAGTAAAGTACAGATTCTAGTACTTTTTGAGTTGAGTCCCATCCGGGATTCGTACCCACACCCTCAGAGTCGGGCACCTAATCGCCAGCACACAAAGTCAGACGCCTAGACCGCTCAACCACCGCGGCTTCTACAAAATGGAAGTGGGACAACTGGTAGTCTAGACTGCAGACTTTGTGTACCCCTCTGATAAGCGTTAATTGGCACGGCTCCCACGACCGAAAGGTATGAAATACACAATGCCAGTCTAGAAAGTGGTCAAATGTAACATATGTTATATTTGGGATTACACTTTCTTAGTAAAGTACAGATTCTAGTACTTTTGTGTTGAATACCATGCGGGATTCGAACCCACACCCTCAGAGTCAGGTACAGACAACCCGTCTAAGGTGTACCATGCCGTCATATGATTCTGGTACTTACGTTTGGTATTTTTAAAGACATAATTTTTCACGAGCCACTCGCCAAAATGCGCCACCTATCGATTGTTTACGTTCATCAGTTGATCGGCACGGGTCTGAGCAAAACATGTTCAGACTTTCATCAATTTGCGTACGTACAGTCATCTCTATTTCAAAACAAATGCAACTTTATGTCTAGCACGTAATGCATGTTTTGTGCGATCCTGCACACATTTTCTATAAACTTATCAGCTTCAAAGTTGTCCAAACATCGCTCGTCTGCTTGCTGATGTCATCAATAAACACAATCACGTGACCTAAAGCCTGATAGGGTCATCTCTCATTTTTCACTTTTCATTTCACGTATCCCGTATCAACTCTACATATTTTATGAACTGGAAATTTATGCTGAAGAAATGTGGGTTGTAATTAATTCGGTCAAACGTTTACTGTATTACAATTTATCAACTTCGATAACAAACTGTAAACCAGCTACTCCCGGATTGGCTGTTGACAACGTGTGAGATTGTGGTACTACTGTGCGCCAGAAATTAGATCTGGAAATACCACGGAAACATATGAACAGTTTCGGGAAGATTACAGCACAAGGTGAAAATCAATTTATGATAAATACTGAGATACCAGAGTCTTGGCATAGAGGCAGCACCTTTGTTGGTGAACGTTAAAGCTGACGATCCAAGGAACTGGATATTAAGGCCTCAACTTGTCTTGATATTTGCCCCAACAATTTAGCAGAGGTCACGAACCAAAAACATTATCCATTCGTCCAGAAACTTTGTCACCACAGATTAATGAAGGCCCTGATCCAATGGCTGTCATTCTCATAGATCCTCAAATACCTTCGCAATGTTTCTGGACGCCAAAATATTGTTGCACTTGCAGGGGCTCCGCCTTCATGAAGGACTTTGTATACAATCCAACAACAGTTTCGGAAAAGTAAAGCATAGTGACCGGTGTTTTGCCAGTTATCCCAGAAAGCTTGCATTCTGGATACATCTAACTTTTCAGAAGGTATCTTGAAAGTATAATCTGCCTCGAATCCTTCTTTGTAAATGTCTTCTTCTGGACGGTCGCTCTTACCCAGAACCTTCTTCATCACTCCGCATTTCTTTTTCTTGTCATGTGGCCATAAGCTGACGTATGTTCCATTACTCAACACAAGAGAGGCGTGTCCGACCTGCTTCTTTTTGGGCATCCATATATATACCACATGAAACCTGAAACAAATTGCAGTGTGGGTGAGTGAGAAAAGGTTTACACCAATACAATACTCTACTTTGATGAAACTATTTTCTTTATAGTTTCTGATGACAATCCTAACATTTTCCAGATATTATTAACCTAGTAACCACATTAATCCTGTTTTTTTTCCAACTTAGTAAAATCTGTCCTTCGGAAAATGGAAACTGACTTGAAAATGCACCAATAAAATGTCAAAGACACCAAAACGAAATGCGGACTGTTATAATCAAACACACCATTGGTTTTATCCTGAATGGACTTGTTTCTGACAGACGGTAAAATGTCAAAGACTTGTTAAAGCTAATTGTCAAAGCGACGAAATGTGAACTGTTATAATCAAACACACCATATGGTTTTATCCTGAATGGACAATAATGTAGAGGAGATCCTAAAGTTTTGTACAACGCAGTCGCATAACGGAAATGATGTGATGTTAGTCACTAACATGTAATGCTTTTGAGAAGTCCGTACATCTCCAGCATATATTGTCGAACTAACTGAGAATCACTGACAAGGCGGATCCAACCATATTGCAGTCATGGCTCCTTGGACTCAATCAAGCACCGAGTTGTTTGGCTGCTGGACCACGTACATCCATTCTTACTCCTTGTTGACAGAAGCATCCCCACACAATGACACTCTTATCGTAGCCGGACAAGGGCGTATAATATAACACCGGAATGGTGTAACATTCTTTGTAAGAACGTCTTCCCAGCTATACAATATAACAATATATCAGCTTTTACTTACCTTTCGGAATGTGAGTGGGTGTTCTCTTCCTTGTAACTGCAAAGTGATACATAGAGATGACAAAGAATGCAGGTTCCTTGCAATTTCTGTGCTTTTACCTCTTTATGCATCAAGTGCATCCCCAGTCGTTGCTTAAGCTTGAATAACACCATTTAAGTCGGCAGTGGTGTTGGTTGCAGTGGTTTCACTGTTGCTGTAGAACGGCATGCAGTAAATTAATAAGTCCAGACATTCAATGATTGAAATCTCAACAGACTCGTGAAAATGTCGGTTCCAATTGATCTTCAGTAACCCATGCTTTTCGTAAGAGGGACTAACGGGATCAGGTGGTCAGGCTCTCTGGCTTGGTTGACATCATCGTACCCCAATTGCGTAGATAGATGCTCATGGTGTTGATAACAACAAACAAACAAACAAAGAAACATCCTGAACATCGATATACACATTTGTGATAAGCTGACTGAAGACTATCCCCATCCTCGATAATCTCCAGGGTATACCTTACGATAACCTCCAGGGTATACGTTACGATCACTCTCCACTATATAATCCAGGGTATACGTTACGATCCTGGAGATTATCGAGGATGCCCCTCTGGGTTGCTGAAGATCCTATGCATCCCCTGTAATGCTGGCGTAATTCAAGCATTACACATCGTTGTTTCGATATCCTGACTCTGAAGTATTCACAATTTCTCACCTTAAAGGAACCATTTCTAAATCTCCTCTTGTGTCTGTTCTCCATCACATTGTGATGATTGGTTGATAACTGCAATATGCAACATGAAAGCGTATATTTAAAATAGTACAATGATCGACCAGCGTACGAGAGAGAGAGAGAGAGAGACTCACGTGCCTGAGCGAGAGTTAATAGAAGTGTGTTGTGAGATCCGTACAGAGAGGTAGACAGAGAGAGCGCTCCCACAGAGAAATGTAGAGAAAACAGAGAGAGAGAGAGAGAGAGATACAGAGAGAGAGACAGACGCAGAGAGACACTTTTGCCCAACATCTCCGTATTCCCATTGCGAGGAACAACAATTCCCATTGCGAGAACAAATTAAGTACCTCGCACTCTCATGTTCACACGACCAGGAAGTGAGAGAGTGCTAATATCATTGTGCTGATAAAGCGGAACTTTGACATGACTGTCGTTGAGTAGTTTCGACAGGAATACCCTTACATGTATGGAACTAAGAAACCTACCGCCAACGTCCGCCATCAGATGACCTAGATTCACTGACGACTTTCAGGTATTTGAACACATGTGACCTTACGGGCGACCCGCGTTGTTTCGCTTGGTGCAGACAGGATATTTGTGGTGTTGAAAGTAGGGATTTCCTAAAACTCGTGTCAGGTCGAGCCGAGCCTAATCGAGACAATACGTTTGTGCCGATATCTCGATTATAGACAGGCATACCTAAATGTTTTGATCAAATATGTAACTATTATTGTTATTCACAACAATCATACACATGCATAAGTAATACGAGTAAAACGAGTGAAAGTTAGCAAGTCGAGCAGTATATATATGAGTGTGTGTGTATCGACCGTCGCTACAAGCGTGACTCAATCTGGGTATATGTGAAAGAAAAATCGTTCAAACGAAATAGGATTTCAAACCTATAACATGTATCCCAGTATTGTGAAACAATATGTCACCGTCATAGATGTATGTAATCATACGCGAAGATAAAATGACATAAAGTAGGTGCATGCAATTAAAAACAAAATTTGAAAGCTATTTATGGAGACATTTCGGTTAGAGACCATAAATGCTGACGAAACAATGGAAAAAGTCTGCGTCAGAAGATATGGATTCCAAACTATGACAGACTATCCATTTAAGACATAAATGACGCAGTCTGAACTGAACAGTGAAATAGCTCTTGGGCAGTCACGCCTGAGCAGCAGTTGACAGTGATAGTAAGGTGCAGCCCAGTGTTTACGGCGTCTGCTCGTCACGCCGAATGTATGTGCCAATTCACCCCGTGATACTGTTACCGACTTCCTCGCCATGACAATACTGGGACATTGCTGAAAGCAGCACAAATAGTAGTTTAACTACAGCGGACCGAATGTAATATGCAAGTTAGAACTGCATCGTGCTGTTCAAGGATACTGTTTGTTGCTAATGTTTAGGTCATAACAGTATATTCCGATGCATATTCAAGATATACAATGGTGCATAGAATTCAGTCTTCTCCAAACGAAGCCACGAATCATATCACACGCTACAGCTCCGCCGTCAGGTGTATCTGAAGCGATCAACAGTCAACGAGGGTAACCACAAGATTAATAAATATGCCTTTCCTTACAGTCAGCTCGGGGAATATACGTAGGTTCACAATGTTCCCATGGCCTCCTATTGAACAATTGTAGGTGTAATCTCTCAAATCGGGCTTGTTCCGCGTATGTAATGTGTTATCGAATGAGCAAAACGTTACATACCTGTGTCGGTCTCATGACCATGTATGGGCCATAATTCATAAAAGGAACTGAATTACTTGAAAAGCTTCCAAACTGGAGTTTTGATGAACTAGCTTGTGAATGTGTTGATGATACTTTTTATGGTGATTTAAGATATCAAAGATAAATGTGAATTCCCTTTGTCCACAACCATTATCATGTATTTTCTTTGGCATGCCCTGAAGAACAGATTAATTTTTGTGATTGGATACTTTCACTTGGTACAAACGTATCAGCTTCATAATCTTCAACTTGTAGGCATACACAAATTTTCCTACATCACCTCGTTCGCAAAAATGTTTAAAAAAATAATTTCAAGATTTTTAAGTATAGGAAAAATATCTAAGAGGACACGTAATGCCGGTATCAGTATCGGGTGATCAAGCCGAGAGGAGGAGAAAACATATGAGAGGGACTTCCTAACGTGCATTCTCTAAGGCTGTTGCTCTTTTCACTCATGACCCATACATGCTATTGTACAGCGCTCGATTGCGTAAGAAGAGCTTTTAACTAGGCACGCTCTATCTACCATACCTCAGCTGACGAACAGAATTCTCGGAAATCTATGCTGACGTGTAGTGTTGACTCTTTCTCAGTCCCATTTGTGACCCCTCCCTTCTAATACCCTCGGGTAGTATCCACAGTTCCATAGGACAGTTTATCCAAAAGTTTGCCATGACTGTAGATCATTGAGTGTCAAGTAGTTACACTGTAAGGTCAGGGTGGTCGTGTCGCATCCCGTGGCTTACTGTACATTTCTCTCCCTGATGATGTACAGGCCGCCATGTTGTGCTTTATAGCTGTAACCTGCACCCCAAACAACACCCATAGATTTCACCTTTCCATACATTCGTCTCACCTTTGGGTGTCGACGTAACAAATGGTTTCTCATAGAGTCAACGACAGGCCGAAATAAACAAGATTGCAAAACAAAACAAAAGAACAACAACAAACAAACTTAATAATAATAAAAAGCAAAAACAAATAAACAAAAGCAAATTAAAAGAGACCAACGCCCTTTACATGGAGGAGGTTATATTTTGAAATGAATGTTTTAAATCTCGGTTAACTTCCAAATACTACTGACATTTGTTGGAACGACAACAACAATCATAACAATGTATTCAATTTCTAATATATCATATAAAACGTTTTTATAGAATTTACAATTATATGAGGAAAGTGGTCAAACGTTCAGCGCAGGCATTTGTCTGAACCAGACGTCGTAGCATGTGATCGCTTTTACATAATTCCTCAATTCCTAACTGTGACTCCTATAAAAACATGTATAACGAAATCTGCACCGCCTACTAAATGACCTAGCATATGGTTTTGTTTCTAATTTCCAATCGACCATAATGCCATAAATTAACATGTACTTCCAATTGTATCTCTTTTCACAATCTCGTTTATACTTGACTATAACACGTTGTTGAACAACAAACAAACAGCACCTGGTTACAGCTCATTATCAGAGATCTCAAGAGGATCAGTTTCCAAGGTATGTCTGTGTACGAGGGCTTAACAACCCACTCTGGTATCTTTGTATCGTAGACAATTTATCAACAGATACTCATCGGGGGAAATGTGTGTCCTTATGCATGTGTACGTTAGTGAAGTGTGGTGTACGTTGAAAATGCTTAATATACATGTAAGAATAAAACTGGGTTTTCATGGGCGGATCCAGGAAATTTGAAAGGGGGGTTCGAACCCCCTGAATCCCCCATTGGCTCCGCCAACGCAAAAAAATCTTCAATGTGGTCTTAAGTCATTTTCAAAAGGGGTGGGGGTGGGGTTGGGGTGGGGTTGGGCGACCCCCTGAACCCCCTCTGGATCCGCCAATAGGTTTTCATTCCGGTTAGCAATACCAGTCCACAATATCTTTGTTGAAATGTTTTGTCACACATATATTTTGAGAAGGATATGAAAATATGTACATCCAAGTACCCTAGTGTATGATGTGTTTATATTCAGATTGACGTCAGCATTTCTACAAATATATTAGTCATCATACACCTGATGAAGGAGCAAGACTAATCTTCAAATGTCGTATAAAGAATCAAAATACGTTGTTATCGTGTCATATCTATGAGTCACGTTCCCTTCGTTGAATGCACTCTCGCATATTTCAAAACGCTGTGTTCTGTAGCGCAGAGTGGTGTCTACCCCGCTGTTAAACTCTATTAATAAAAAGCCTCTATGAACACAACTGAGAGAAAATTCTCAGGGAGAGAGTATATGGACCAATTGGATTGAACATGGCTTTAAAAAGTATTCAATTGCAAGTATTCCGTGTGTAAAATACCCGAGACAGTAAATTTTCCTGGCAGATGTTTAGTTTTGTAAAGTTCTCCGCCCAACAGTTTGGCTATTACTGTATTCCCCAAGATTACCTAAGCAACCTACCACTTACTTTGTATACGAGGTAGATGTATTACTGTAAACACTTTATTCATTCACTGCCGTGTATGTATGAAGACCATGAGGCTGTTTTACTCGTTCCGGGGTGACATCCAATATTGCCAATCCGACTCAGACTCGGCATGAACTTGACTTGTACCGATTTGAGGGACGGAACCCATGACGCCTAGCGTGACCTCTCAACGCGTTAAGAAGTAAGTTCCATCACCGCCTTTCCATCGGCCTCAATGCTATTCTGGCAATGGTAGTCGAAATACTTCTCCTTAACAACAGTGTGGCGTTTATATAGTCTTCTATGTACACTCAGAAATACCCGAATGTCGGGTGCTTCGCAAACTCTACACACAAGGGACGACTCCCTTTGATTAAAATATCAAATCAGATTATGTGTCCAAAAGCTGGAGAACACTTACTGTTGAATATCGGGGGTAGGAATGCATCACTGTTGACCCATGACGTTTTCTAAAGCCATTTCTTTATCAGCCAGTAGCAGCCGCCATTTATATTTCAGTATAAGAGTATGTATGTACAAAAAATAAAGATTCCTTCCTGTGTTAGCTGTGTTTGATTTCCCTGCAAAAGTGAAAAGATTCCTTCCTGTGAAGGGCTGTGATCTGGTTGATATCCCTGCTGTCCTACCTGCACCGAGTAAAGGGTCTGTCAGTTGATCTAAGGTCAGTATGAAGCCATGCAGAAACGTATTCAAGAGGTTCAGATAATCACGTCAACAATGCCTCTGTGTATGCACTTACATACTAACATCTATACAAGGTCATCTCACACACATGTGGTTCACGCCTCTACAATGTGACAAGAGTGCGCCATGAAACTAATGCCAAGTTTATAATTACCCGTATCGCTGACAAACTGAACATGTTATTCAATGCCCCGGGTCTCAGTGAGGTTTAGTCCTCTACTTGGCATTAGGTAAGCAGTCAATTTTGTCTTATTTTCCCAACCTTGTGAGTAAAATGCCAGTGATTGTCACGTTGATCATTGTGTTTACTTGTAGACAGTAAATGGGATAAAACACCCCCACAGTGATTTCCACTAGTCGCAAATCAATGTTCACATGATATACTACCAGTGACAGACAGGCCCTGTTTGCAGATCGCGACTATTTAAGCTGAATGTGAGTGTGTGACGGACACATGTACAATGGAGTCTCTGCTTCTGTTTAGACTCGGAGCCGTTCGTACCAATAACTGCAACCTTCGAGGAAAGAGACGTACTTGTTATGGCAGGAGGTAAAAAGTAAGATATGCTTCTTGGTTCATATTACGGGTAACGTTCTTGTAACGTCAACATATAATTAGTCAAACCTGATTCATCTAAAATATATATGTAAATATGTAACGTTGCACATTCTGCGTTGTATAATTAGGTCCCATTCAGTCTTCGCTTATAGTATATGGCAACGTAGTGGATTGGGTGGTCAGGTTTCTCTGAGCGAGCTGGTTGATTATGTATCATCGTACACCACAGACTAGGACACTGTTCATGCTATAGATCACCAGTTTGTCTGAACCAAAGAAGGTCTATGTACAGTTGTACATCTTAACGCCTGTGCTTTGGATTCACCATTTTTTTAAACATGACTGTAGACGACAATACCTCAGTCTGGTTGCTAAAGGCCCATGGAAGTTTGCGACCCCCTCTTTGAGTATTTCAGTGTTTCTTTTCTTGGTAAACTATGTTGTATTTGAAGGTCCCACGATGTCTATATATGGATGCCAACACCGTTTTTGAAGACCGGACACGTGTCTCTGAAGTTGAGCGATGGAACCCACATAAGCTGGTGGCCACGGCACAGGAAAGAACTGAAGAATGGCAGAATTCATCATGCTGTGAGTGGAACAGAAACCACAAATGGCACTGATCTTGATGACGACATTCAGACTATGGGGTACAAATACGACGTGGAATTCCATATACCAACAAAACGTTTAAAGCTTCAGAAAATGAAGAATTCCTGGTCATCTATTCTTTTGAAATGTGAATTTAATCCAATGAAAGAAAACTGCTGCTGGGTCGTTTACAACGTGTTACAGGCTGGGGGTGCTGCATCTGCGGATGTGCAGTCTCCATGGCGACCGTGGATGATACGGCAGTATGTGTCCAGCTTAGTTGGGGAATCGCGAATTCATTAGATGATACACAATTTATATACGCTACTTGAACACTTGCTGTTCTGGACGCGGGATGATTTTCCCAGAAGCTATGTTGAAGTGCGAGGAAGGAAATGTCCAGTTTTGTCATTATGTGTTGATTGCTTTATATAAGTATATAGTTTTTTATATTTGAATATATTCATACATGAATACGTGAATACATAAAAACAAGATAAGCTCCGCTTCCTTCCGTCCGAATATCGACACCTAAATGATGTTGAAACCACCCTTTGTATGCAAACGTTCATGAAACATGGTTTTGTTAAGGGGTGTATAAGATTACAACACAGAAGCTGATCATCCATAAACACCTGTAATTCCTATTACACAAATAGTCCATACGTTTCGGCTATCTTCATATGCTTTATATTATGTCGTGTTATGTCCTTGTTTCCGTTTTAAAACTGTTCATTGTTATAACTGTACTGAAATAACAATCTAAACAAAATGCATTCTAAAATGTTCAATAAATGTTCACATGCATGAAAGTGTCTCTGGGAGTATTTCTTAATGGAGACTTGAACTGAAATTTATCTCCGAAGTTTAAACAAGTTAATCCTATTTTCTCAGTAGTGACGTCAACTCGAAACTACTGTTTATGATCGAGGAAAACGCGCTTCGGTTTCGTCATGAGGAAATGTTTCTGTTGCCTGAATCCGGGTTGAACAACAGTAGTATTGTGTGTTCTTGAGGCTAGATGTACGGCGTGGGTGTTGAACGCACAGTACAATCTGTCATACGGCTGTTCAAGTTACAGACAGATTTGAATTATAGAGGTACGTATGTTTTTTCATCGTTTCATAGTCCGGCCTATATTTGGCGTGTATATACAGGATCTATAATAATGTTTGGCTGGACAATAATGTCGATGATAAATGTATTGTGCAGTCACTCAATTACGTTTGACTTCGTTAAAGCCAGGAAACCAGGAAGTCAAATACTTTATTCAAGGGATCGGAAAATATGTAACTTCTGGTGATAAAAAATCCGTTGTCGCGTGCAGTGTGGACTGCAGCTGAGATATAGTTGAAACCTGCGATACCGTCATTTGTCTAGGTTATATTTCCACGTGGCCCCTCGATAATGAAACAATGCATATCGTGTTAAGCAGTTGTTAGGTCGGTTAAATCAGTAACCAAAGAAATGTGTTAAGGTGATAGTGCCACTCAAATTATCTGTCAGAATGAATGTGTAATACCGTGAGAGGTGTTGGGTATTACTGCAAATCTCTTCTGCAAAATAAATGGCAAGATTCTTCCATCTCTCAACACACACGAACACACACACACACACACACGCGCGCGAATGCACACACACGCATGCACACACCAGCTCTATATGTATTTGTGCAGATGAATCATTGCTTGCATTCGAGTAGTTATTTCAAATGTTTGCACAATTTCTTCTAACACATCTTTATCAGATAAATTCCTCAGACAAACAATAAAACACTCAGGAAGAAAACTCCCGGCTTTACTCTAGTCGTCGACCTCTATGTTTCCTTGTGTCAGTGCTCTCACCAAGGTTCATTCAATTTCAGTCGTATCTTCAGAGTTCGGTTTTATCCGTCACACATTAATTGTTTTGCTCTGAAAAACACCGAGAAGTGGACTTTCATTCATTTGTGTCACAGGTGCATCTATATTAAACGTACTTGATTGAAACTTTTTATTATAAATCTTGTTTTCCAGTGTTAAAGTGTCATATGTATTATTATTTCTGTCTTCAATACAATCTAGATAATGGATTCACATTAATCGTAGTCTCTCCCCGCGGTATTGTTGCCATTTCAACCCAGGACTCTCTTCGTGTGCAACAGATAGATCACATAAGTGCAGATCTGTTCTACCTGAGATCATGTACGTCTGTAGGATATATTGTGCATTGCATACATGTTCGTACATACAAATGTATTTACAAAGGACTGGGTATTCCAGTTTGAACACACTGACTCACGTTGCTGCACCTGTATATGAACAGCATTTCGATCCCTCAAGTCACTCTGTCTTCAGGAAGTGATTACACCTGTAGAGCACGGGGGCACACAAAGGACGGTATGTGTAATGACGTATTTACAAAGTTTCCTGTCATGTTCAGATGAAATGATTTTCTTTTATTCTTATTTCCGAAATTGCTTGAAATTATGTGAAAATGACCCAGATACCCGTGGATATCCGGGTTAGAACTGAACTTCAGTAACCCATGCTTGTCGTAAGAGCCGACTAACGGGATCGGGTGGTCAGGCTCGCTGACTTGGTTGACACATGTCATCGTTTCCCAATTGTGTAGATCGATGTTCATGCTGTTGACCACTGGATTGTCTGCTCCAGATTCGATAATGAACAGACCGTCGCCATATAGCTGGAATATTGCTGAGTTCTGTTTTTTAAACTAGAGTCACTCACTCACTCAATTGAGGCGACACTGCAGATACAGAGTGACAAGGCCGTTTTCGATGTGAGTTGACTGTTTTTCCATTAGCAGACAGTAAACGTAAATGGGCGCGAAACCAGGGAAAGAAAAGGGGTCCGAAATTCGAAGTGAACGTCAATAGTCCGGACCAAAGAGGTAAATAATATGCACGCCAATGCATCTTCATTTTATGCTTTATTAAACAAAGATAGGGTTCTATGGATATCCGACCCGTAAAGGTCCGGGTTAGAACTGAACTCCAGTAACCCATGCTTGTCGTAAGAGGCGACTAACGGGATCGGGTGGTCAGGCTCGCTGACTTGGTTGACGCATGTCATCGTATCCGAAATGCGTAGATAGATGCTAATTTTGTTGATCACTGGATTGTCTGGTCAAGGTTCGATTAGTTACACCGTAACGGCGTAAACCTAAACTCACTTACTCAGTCACTATGGGTATACAACTTGCTTATTGCAATAACTACGACGATATGGTGTTACATAAGCTACGGTGAAATTTTTATGTCCACATAACTATATCCCTTGTTCATTAACACCAACACGTCACTTAAAGACTGGGTTTTGTACTAGGTGACAAGTCCACATTGATATGTTTATATATATTGTTACAGAATATGACATGCGTAGTCACAATTACATATACACATCCATTTAGTGCATGAAATCAATAGATTCTCTGATGCTGCAAGATCTGGTTAGACTTGAACCGCACACAACCCCACCAACCCCCCACCCCCCGTAGATATGGTCAGTCGGATTGTGAAATCAGTCATTTCGAGCAGTGTTTAGTCATGTGTTCACTCATCCACATAACCAGCATGTCTTTTATGTCGTCATTTGCCGTTTCAACTGATCCTTGCCTTTGGTGATGGCGTGGCTTACTATGTACTCGTGCTAGTTCTGTCCAGACTAGTTGAATTTCTATAATACATGTGACGTGAACTCTGATCCATTATCAGATTGGAGGATCACCGGGGCAACGCTACTTCAGCAGCTACTTTTAGTTGTCCGTGGTCTCAATAGGCAAAGCTTATTTAAGTCATCCTGATGTACCATTATCAAGCGAAATTGCTGAAATTTTCAGTCATTTCACAATCTGACTGTAATAGATACAGATAAACATACACCCATATACTAGTATATACACATGCATCACGTTTGTATAATTAAGTAGGCGTCACATGACTAATGTAATGGGTGTGTAAACAATACCGTAAAGAAAAGGAATGGCATACATAATTTGATTCTCATCATTTGATGCCTGACTAAAACGCATTGTATAGAACAAACTTTGTGGATAAAAGATTCTTTCGATGTGTTGTTTTAAGTTATTTACATATAGCCGTCATTTATCTGGATTATTGCTGAATGCAAAGAAAATGGAAACAAACCAGAAGTAAGACCAAAGATTTTGACTTTTTTCAGGAGGAACGTACATCACCAATGAGGGCAGCGTAGGTAACATAGCCACTGGCGACCACCACTCAGGCCATATGACTGCCTCAGTTAGCGGACAGTCGGGAAACAGTCCAAAGAAATAGTAAGGACACATTTCGTTCCTCACAAGTTTAAACCTGTCTCAGTATTATAGTAATTTACAACTTGTGTGCACTGCACGGCGTTTATAACTAAAGTATATGCTGGAGACTGATCTGTTTGGCATTTTAGAAGTTTATGAGAAATAAGGAAAGTATGATACTTTATGGATGACAGCTACTTTATTATATTATGGTGCGAAGTTTCTGTATAGATTCTTATACCGTTATCAAGCAATAGTGAAGTACTACAGAACAGTACAGACTTATATACATCTAACAGGGATAAGGGTCCATGCAGGTGGCAAAGGTAATGTAAGTCCCCATGGTCCCTGGTATGGTGATCTACCCTCAGTTGTTGGCGATCTATAGCCTATTTATATTGTGTTGTCCTCTATAGTAAAAATGTTTTAGATTTAATTGCTAGTTTTACATTTATATCCTGCATGTTCTAGTTTGCTTTACTGTCCTTTGTTGACAGGATTAAAAAAATCTATCATTACTTATTGTTAATCTATAACTCGTTTTAGTCACGATATGGCTGAAATATTGCCAAAGTGACTTTAAATTTTAACTCACTTACTAAAAGGGATTAAAAAAGATAGCATAATGATAGCATGAAATGGATAACAATGGACATTTAATAATTACTGCAGAAACAAACAGAGAAAGCCAACTGTTCGTGAGGCGCAATAAAATATGTTAAACATAGGTAATAACATGAAGAAACCATGATAAATAGAGTGCTCTGTTGATTTACCAGTTCATTCTAGGCGGATGGGATGAGCTATCCTTGGTCTCTTGTTATGGAGGACCTGTGTCAGCGCATTTGATCTGTTTCTGTCAGATTTCTGTTGGTGTTTTTTAAAATAATATTTATGCATTGTCACGTGTGATGTGTTGATGACGTTGTCTGGAATAGCTGATGTTCGGTCTGATGTGGTGAAATATTGCCAAGTGACTATAAATTTTAACTCACTCACTCACTCACTCACTCACTATGTCTTCTTAAGACCAATTGCAGCTATCTGTATTGCAAACCAAAACATAAATGCAGGCGATTCGATACACGCAGCACGGCGGTATACTTAGTATGCCTCGCAACACATACCGCCTTACCACGCGTTTCATAGATCACGGGACAGACATGTGGTTAACGTAGAATGTATATTACAGGAACGCCAAGAAGAGACGTAACAGATAATGGCGTCCGGGATCAGGTAGGTCCTGTTCAGTGTGGTTACAGAAGCAGCCGTGTAGGTGTCATGCCACCGTCGAATTAACAATTCGTGGTATTCTCTGTGAGTGTTTTTCTCGAGAACACATTTGGAGGCATATCTTAAAAGATGAAAGACATTTTATTAGAAAATATTGCTAAACGAGTTGATGTGATAGGTAAAAAAACATGCTTATTGATTTATTAAATGAGTGTGTGAATTTAGTTTTATGCCGCTTTTAGCAGTAATCCAGCAATATCACGATTGATGTATTACGGAAGTGTTGCAGGTTTATAATATAATTTCCATTGTACATGCACGATACAATTCATTAGATGATTTCACCAATTTTCTTTCAATTTCCAGTGTCCACAGGGTTTACATTTGGTTGCCAAGACAACATTTGCAGATCGGGGGTCATGTGTCTTTGCAACTCCACGATGGAACATACATAAGTTGGTGGCCACAGCATGGCAAAGACTTTGAAGTAGCAAAGATTGACTTTACCCAGCAGACCATACCGGCATCAAATGGTACCGATGTAGAAGAAGATATACAGACCATGGGATACAAGTATAACCATGTGTTTGAGATACCTCTAGAGCGTTTGGATCTACAAAAAATGAAAGACTTCTGGTATTCTGTTCTTTCAGCTCGTAAATTTGACCCCAAAAGGGAGAACTGCTGCTGGGTAGTGTACAAGGTTCTTCTTGCAGGAGGCGCTCCTTTGGCAGACGTGTGGTCACCATGGCGACCCGGGATGATACGACGATACATGGTCAACTTTGTTGGAGGGGAGGAGTCTTGGATATATCGACGAATCGGAAATTTTCTTCCCTTCTAAGGCCATGTTTAGAAGTCCAATTGTAAGCTTTATTGAAAGATGGTTCTGATGCCTGGCAATGATGGCGTCATAGCTTCTGACGACGATGCCGCATTGACCACACAAGATACACGCTTGAAAGTTTATTTAAAGGGAGGATCTTCTGTTTTGTATCCATTGTGATGAGAGACTGCTTGACTGTGTTGACTTGTACACCAAAGGGGATAAATATTTCAGTGTAACAACGGTTAGATATCTTTTTAATAATGTCAATTGTCGTTTAATTGTTGATCTTTTAAAAGATTTAGAACTGATTGATAGATTTTGATTAATATGTTTTGTAGATAGGTGTATTTTTTATAACTGGTAGTTTAAATTAGCAGCTGAGGTTGTTAGTGGCTGTATCCTCAGAGGGGGTTAAAATATCGTAAAATTATTGTCCTCCCGATGGGATACGCAAGTAACTTTAGATCTTCCGCTATCTATAATTGTAGGAGTAGTATCTGTGTTATGTTAATGCATGACTAGCTTTTTGTCTACATCTGAAAGGATGGTGTAAATCCAGCTTGGGTTCATAACAGGAAGCCGGGATCGTGTGGTCAGGCTCGATTTGACTTGGTTGAATTCACATGTCATCAGTTCCCAACAGCGCAGATCGATGCTCATGCTGTTGATTTTTAGTGTTTACCAAAACATGCTGTACATCCCATCGCCTAATTTCTATTATTGTACATCCCAATCACCTAATCTCTATCACTGTATATCCGTTACTGGCTTCCATCTATGGATATAAACTCTAAGTAAACATGTTGTACAAACAGTATGTATACCATATTTAACTTGATCCCCTCGCCAATCTGTTGTAATATCAACTCTGTGGCTTCATGTACATACTATACATACCTCTGTAACTACTCACTGTCATTCACCTGGTGATGGGGCAAGTATTATCACAGAAACGTTGTGTGTAAATAATAAAGAAGTTGCACATCCATATCAAGTGTCTTGTATTGATTAAGTCCAAATATGGCCGAAACGTGACTTTACTCACTCACTCACTCCCTCATTCACGCACTTCTGAACCTGAGCAGTTCGTCCGCTGTACTCAGCTTGTGTAGTAGTGCCAGGCATCTCATGTCGATAAAACATCAGAATGGCCGGAGAGGCTGAACAACTTATCCATGCGGTGCAAAGTAATGTAGTTATGTATCTAGACGCCAGTAAAGTGTTGTGGTCCCACTGATAGAATCCTGTTTTTAAAGAGACAATATCCCAACCATAACTTAACCTGTTGATGGTTGCAGGTGTGTCAGCAATATAGCCATGCTCATTTGTTTAAAAAAAATAGGAGACGTCGCCTATTATCTGAACGTGCTCACCACGCTGACATTGAAATCAACCTGCATTTATCCCAAATCACTCAACTGAACCTATATTTTTAATAGAGGCGACGTGTTTCTGATAGAACATTTCTATGCGCATATATCTGAAATAAACACGTTCCCAGGAAGGTTTAAAATTAAAGTGAATACTTCAAGGGTTAGTAACGAATGCTTGAATAATCGCAAATGGACAAAATACATCATCAGTAGAAATCAATGTATTTTCTTTTGGAAATTGTTTATCACCATTAACATATCGGCAGTAATCATGATGAACATAGAGATTTTTCTGGGTTACATCTTCTTTTTATTCTCGAGTACAACGTTTCAGGGCTTGTTCTGGCCCCATCATCAGGTAAACTGAACAGTAACTGTTAACTCTGGCCGTGACGTCACAATGCTTATGACGTCACAATGCTATGACGACGCAATACATGTGGTGGTCAATAGATACAGATGACATGGCTAATAGAATACATGTTATTATGAATATATAAGATGTCATTTACTGCAAAATTAATGGATCAATTTAGAACTGTGCAGATACTTATACAAAATTGGTGATTGAATTAGAAATGTACAGAGACGTATTTATAAATGTATAGAATGTAAAGTAATAGCAGTGTATACATAGAAATTATGCTTTATACATGGGAACAGTGACGAGGGTAGGGTATTGTCTTATTGTTTTATGTACCATGCATTTGGGAGGTAGACACCCTGGTCCCTGTTTATTGCTGGTTTTGTGCGTTTGATGAAGATAGCCTCAATCAACTTGCGTTTACGCCAGTCACTGATGTTTTTTGAGAGGACTTCAGTTTCCCAGTCAATTTCATGATCGGGATTATTCATAATGTGTTCAGAAACTGCAGATTTCAGATCTGATTTGTCCACTGAAGTTTTGTGTTCTTTCACACGTGTAGCTACTGGTCTGCCTGTCTCACCAATGTAGATGTCACCACAGTCACATTTCAGTTTATACACACAGCCTTTAGGGTTGGATATAGCGTGATTGCACCCCTTACCATTTGCACGTAGCAAAGTTTTAAGGGTTTTGCCAGACGAGAAAGTGGTGTCAATGCTGGCCATTTTCTTTAGGAGTCTGCTGACTTGGTGGCTGATGGGCCCAACATACGGGATGTTGATGCGGATGGGAGATGGTTCAGGTTTCGGAGGAGGCTGAACTTGATCTTGTAGTGTTTTCTTTATGGTGGTTTCAACAAGGTTCTTTGGATAACCATTGTATGTGATGAATGTTGTCATCAGGTGGTCTGTTTCTTGTTGCAGTAGGTCAGGGCTACAAATCTTTTTCGCGCGTCTCGCAAGTGTGGCAACAATTGCTCTCTTGATTTGGGGATGGTGGTTTGAGACAGGCAGACCAGTAGCTACACGTGTGAAAGAACACAAAACTTCAGTGGACAAATCAGATCTGAAATCTGCAGTTTCTGAACACATTATGATTAATCCCGATCATGAAATTGACTGGGAAACTGAAGTCCTCTCAAAAAAACATCAGTGACTGGCGTAAACGCAAGTTGATTGAGGCTATCTTCATCAAACGCACAAAACCAGCAATAAACAGGGACCAGGGTGTCTACCTCCCAAATGCATGGTACATAAAACAATAAGACAATACCCTACCCTCGTCACTGTTCCCATGTATAAAGCATAATTTCTATGTATACACTGCTATTACTTTACATTCTATACATTTATAAATACGTCTCTGTACATTTCTAATTCAATCAACAATTTTGTATAAGTATCTGCACAGTTCTAAATTGATCCATTAATTTTGCAGTAAATGACATCTTATATATTCATAATAACATGTATTCTATTAGCCATGTCATCTGTATCTATTGACCACCACATGTATTGCGTCGTCATAGCATTGTGACGTCATAAGCATTGTGACGTCACGGCCAGAGTTAACAGTTACTGTTCAGTTTACCTGATGATGGGGCCAGAACAAGCCCTGAAACGTTGTACTCGAGAATAAAAGAAGATGTAACCCAGAAAAATCTCTATGTTCATCAAATATCATCTTCTAAAATGCCAACTTGCAAGCTATAAGAATGTTGGAATTGACAGTTTTCATCATCTTTTCCACAAATTCAGTTATGGAAAATGCACAATTGGTTTCTTCATACTTCTCGTGGTGGAGCATACATATATGTAAATGGTTATATGTTTATTGTGAACAAGAAGAAAAGGGGAAATGGATCTCGTGGAGATGCATTCAGAACGACTGCATATCAGTCTTAACAGTGAACGACATAATTTCCCAAATGCCTGGAGACCACAGCCACGGACCTGTACACAGCGAAGTCAAAGTGAATCTTTTCGACTGTACCAAAAATACTGACGGCCCCCGCACAAACCGCACAAACCCCCGGGGTTGCAATTGGCATGGCCGTCTCAAGAAGGTTGTCGGAAAACAACATCCCAACCTATGCGAGATGGCAAAGTTCTTGGCAGATGAACAAGGACTGAACGAGGCAAAGATGCTTCAGTACAATGCCGGCCAAAGACTTTCCCCAAAAGAAGTACCGAGATTTGGAGGATCGACTAGATACCTTGAAGTTCAGGCTTGCAAATAACCACCCGACATTGATGGAGTACCTGGACAATGACAGGCAGACAGATAGTCACACATGTTTTATTCAGTAGTTAAGGCCGAGTGGCCCAGAGTACAATTGAAGTTACTTAATTACAACTATTGGTCATGTGGCATGAAATTATGGTTTTACATGTGATTTACGGACATCAAATGTTTCATGAAAATGGCAACAGGTTTAATAATATCAGCATTATTAGAATTAAGTACATTATATATCGTTTGGGGGCATCATTAGTGCATTTTAAATACTTATTCGTTGTTAAAAATGGTGACAAAAACATTTTTATATCACCAACATCTTGCTTAAACCAAACATAAGAAAACCCGCTTGAAAATAACATATTTCTCACATCTGAAGCCCATGAATACTTTCAACATTTATCCAGTGGTAACAATATTTGATAGCTTTGATGGGGGTAGCGATAATCAGGCATACTTTATAAGTTTAATCCAGTATCTAATAACTCTCATTTGACTCTCAATATGCATGTTATAGCTTCCCGTTTCGCCAAATATGGCTTTATAGGAGGCAAATGTACCTACTGTAAGAAATCTTTTAAAATAGGATGCATGGACATTTTCAATGGCTTCGAAATAATTTGTTCCCCATATAATATGGGAAATTATGACATGATTATATATGTTAAAAGAAATATATTAAATCACAACCTTTTGGAATATGTTATAAAGGATCAACACTTGCATTTCTTCTTAATGAAATAGTTATGTGTGTAACCGTGAAGATCTGGTTTACAATCTTCTGGAAGCCATGATTGTCATAAGATTGGATTGGGGTGGTCCGACCTGCTGACTTGGTCCAGACTTTATTGTCTGGTCAAGATTCGATTATCATGGACCTATGAATATCACTTTAAATAAACATACAAGCCACCGTGTCCAAACGCTTCAGTTCCGCTCTGTCTGCCTTTATTGTCTAAAATTCCCAGATCTGATACTGACTTGAGTAAAGTGTCTGTTTTCCTTTCTTTCAGCGTGCATGACAAAGTCCATGAGTTAAACCAGAACCTGCAATAAGTTTGGATAATGGACACCATCCAATCGTCATTGGTCAATGGTAATGGTCAATTGAGTATGGATGATGTTTAGATCGCGTGGAGTATTTCTAAAATTTATGCACTATTATTGTTGACATTAGGTAAGTAGAAACGCCGCCTGCTGTCAGAATTTGTCGTATCACCCCTTCCGACGAAACACCCCACATTTGAGAAAGATCCTCTCCCATCATTTGCTTCCAACGTCTCCTCATGAAGTGGTACTCCAGCGCATAGGCAGGAAGGATACATCTCTTATCTTCTTCTCTGCCAATGTTTCTTCGATCTTCCTCTAAGCTGGACGCAGCATGTTCTGATGACGAAGAGCAACGGGGCCACCAGCTCACGTACACTGAGTAATCAAGCAATAGTGAATAGTGGCATTCAGTCTCATCTCGGGCCTTCCATGTGTACAAAATGATTTTCTCTGAAACAGAAAGAGTGCGACGGACGTTTTAGCTTGTACCATAAAGTAGTCATTTTTTCATGTTTTGAAACCTTATTCAGTTACCTCGTACTTGACACTTACAGTCAGAGCAGTAAAAGCCCGTCTCATCTCTGTCATCTACCTAGTTTGTATTAAACTGTTGGTATGTTTTGATGACATTTTTTTTCGTGGTAATGTATGGACTTCATAGACAAGAAACTATCAGGTCCTGACGATGTGCGTTTCAAGAAGTAATTCATTACTTGCATACTGAACATGTTAAAATGAATGTCAGTTCCACAGTTTAGAACTCTCTGCTCTTGATGTGTCGAAATTTGGGTATTTGTGAAATCATCACAAGACACGAAACATAATGATGACACTTACCTTTGAAAGAAGGAATCGAAGGTTGGCATGTTCAGATAAGCCCTAAAACTTGATCCACCACCCAGGTAAATAACCAAGTACCTACGTAAAGTTTCTGGTCTCCAGAGAATTGTTTGGCTCATTGGGGCGCCGCCCGCATGAAGGACATGATACACCACCCAGCAACAATTTTGATCCAGAAGGGAATAGTGCCCCGTGCTTTTCTGTTGGTTCCAATACGTTGTCATTTTAACAAGGTCCAGGTGTGTGGAGGGTATGTTGAAGGTGTAGTCAGGATCCATGCCCTCCTCTCTAATGTCATCCTGAAGGCTGCCGTTGCATTTATTTCTTTTCTTCATAAACCCACATTTTGATGTCCCTTCTTGGGGCCACCAGCTTACATATTCATCGTTACTCAGACGCAGAGAAGCGTGGCCAACCTGACTGACCCCAACATGCATCCATATATAGATTACATTGTCACTGAAAACATAATTGAACAATCCTTTAATTTCCTACCTATATTCAAAGCACGATGACTTGAATTAATAAAATTGACTAAACCTTTGGACAACACTAATTAAAACGGCTTGTCCTTGTGTTCATGTTCTGGTGAACATAGGCCAGTGAGCACTCCTCAACCCAAGAGGCGGTGAGGCAGCCTATAGTGCTTGAAGAATTTGCTCGTCACGCCGGAGACCCAGGTTCGATTTCCCACATGGGTACAATGTGTGAAGCCCGATCCGGTTTAGGATATATGGTACACGGGTGGGTCACTGGTTGCACACGCGCTGTGCGCTTGTTTATTTAAAGTATTTAATGTGCACTTTTATCTTTTTGTATTGATGTCTTATTTGAAATTTTATCTCATCTATCTTTCGTAATTTTCCTGAATGTGAATTTCATGAATGAAAATTTCTCCCGAGTCTTCTGCATATCACAATGCACCTTGAGCTAAGAACCTCTGAAACGGGGCGGCAAGGGACGGCTAAGCTACACCTTCAGGAATGAATCCATATATTTGTCTGTACAACTTAAACCACTATGTGTAGAACATGGAAAACATACCTTGTGTCAAACTGTGGGAGCATCATGTCCTATAACTAGGATGCGGTACTTCAACTGCAACATATCAATCCCAACTGTAGACGTTCGGCCAATACACTGGCGACATAAAAAAACGCATTTAAAACTCAAATCAGTGCACAGCCATTTGTTCACCCTGGTCTGTGCTGCCTTAGCCATTCACACCTGTCAGTGTTTCCCCTCTCATTCACTCCTGTTTGTACTGCCTCTCGCACCGATTCCAGCTTGTGCTACCCTCTCTTTCACACCTGTCTGTACTGCCTCTCGCAAACATTCCAGCTTGTGCTTTTCCTAAAGAATGTACTGTATAAACCAGAAGGACAAATCAGTATTGTAGTTTTTGCATCGTACCTGCAGGTCTATGATACGTATCCCTTAAACTACACGTTGAGAGCGTAAATGCATGTCTAGGACACCGCCTTGTCAAAATTCGTTTAGATGCGTGGGCTATGATAAACTGACGAGATCAAAGCTGTCTTTAAAAAAATGTCTATGTTGGGGGTTGAAGAGTCATTAGGGTTGGGCGTGGTGTGGCATTTCTATCTGTACGAACTGGGTCCGAGTGTAACAGGGTCGTGTGTAGACGATGTCTTGTGCGTAACAAAAATGGCGTATATCTACAGGCCGTGCCAGTTTGTAACGGTAGCGTGTGCTTAAAAATAATACAGACTGTGTCTGAGTGTACACGGACGTGTCTATGGTATTTACAGCGTGTCTATGGTTTACAGGTTGTCTGTTAGTATAATGGGGACGTATCTGTGGTATTTACAGGTTGTGTGTTAGTATAATGGAGACGTGTCTTTGGTATTTACAGGTTGTGTGTTAGTATAATGGAGACGTGTCTATGGTATTTATAGGCTGTGTGTTAGTATAATGGGGACGTGTCTATGGTATTTACAGGTTGTGTGTTAGTATAATGGATGGGGACGTGTCTGTGGTATTTACAGGTTGTGTGTTAGTATAATGGAGACGTGTCTATGGTATTTACAGGCTGTGTGTTAGTATAATGGGGACGTGTCTATGTTAGTATTTACAGGTTGTGTGTTAGTATAATGGGGACGTGTCTGTGGTATTTACAGGGTTGTGTGTTAGTATAATGGGGACGTGTCTGTGGTATTTACAGGCTGTGTGTTAGTATAATGGGGACGTGTCTATGGTATTTACAGGTTGTGTGTTAGTATAATGGGGACGTGTCTATGGTATTTACAGGCTGTGTGTTAGTATAATGGGGACGTGTCTGTGGTATTTACAGGCTGTGTGTTAGTATAATGGGGACGTGTCTGTGGTATTTACAGGTTGTGTGTTAGTATAATGGGGACGTGTCTGTGGTATTTACAGGTAAATGTGTGTTAGTCATAATGATAGCGGCTGTGTGCTTATAATGGGGAGTGTCTGTAAACTTTTGATGTGTTAGTATAATGGGGACGTGTCTGTGGTATTTACAGGCTGTGTGTTAGTATAATGGGGACGTGTCTGTGGTATTTACAGGTTGTGTGTTAGTATAATGGGGACGTGTCTGTGGTAATTACAGGTTGTGTGTAAGTATAATGGGGACGTGTCTATGGTAATTACAGGTTGTGTGTAAGTATAATGGGGACGTGTCTGTGGTATTTACAGGTTGTGTGTTAGTATAATGGGGACGTGTCTATGGTAATTACAGGTTGTGTGTAAGTATAATGGAGACGTGTCTGTGGTATTTACAGGTTTTGTGCTAGTATAATGGGGACGTGTTTGTGGTATTTACAGGTTGTGTGTTAATATAATGGGGACGTGTCTGTGGTATTTACAGGTTGTGTGTTAGTATAATGGAGACGTGTCTGTGGTAATTACAGGCTGTGTGTTTGTATAATGGGAACGTGTCTATGGTATTTACAGGCTGTGTGTTAGTATAATGGGGACGTGTCTGTGGTATTTACAGGTTGTGTGTTAGTATAATGGGGACGTGTCTGTGGTATTTACAGATTTGTGTGTTAGTATAATGGGGACGTGTCTATGGTATTTACAGGCTGTGTGTTAGTATAATGGGGACGTGTCTATGGTATTTACAGGCTGTGTGTTAGTATAATGGGGACGTGTCTGTGGTATTTACAGGTTGTGTGTTAGTATAATGGGGACGTGTCTATGGTATTTACAGGCTGTGTGTTAGTATAATGGGGACGTGTCTATGGTATTTACAGGCTGTGTGTTAGTATAATGGGGACGTGTCTGTGGTATTTACAGGTTGTGTGTTAGTATAATGGGGACGTGTCTGTGGTATTTACAGGCTGTGTGTTAGTATAATGGGGACGTGTCTATGGTATTTACAGGTTGTGTGTTAGTATAATAGAGACATGTCTAAGGTATTTAAAGGCTGTGTGTTCGTATGATGGGGACGTGTCTCTGGTAATTACAGGTTGTGTGTTAGTATAATGGAGACGTGTCTATGGTATTTATAGGCTGTGGGTTAGTATAATGGGGACGTGTCTATGGTATTTACAGGCTGTGTGTTAGTATAATGGGGACGTGTCTGTGGTATTTACAGGTTGTGTGTTAGTATAATGGGGACGTGTCTGTGGTATTTATAGGCTGTGCGTTAGTATAATGGGGACGTGTGTGGTATTTACAGGTTGCGTGTTAGTATAATAGATACAAGTCTAAGGTATTTAAAGGCTGTGTGTTCGTATGATGGGGACGTGTCTCAGGTAATTACAGGTTGTGTGTTAGTATAATGGGAACGTCTCTGTGGGATTTACAGGTTATGTGTTAGTATAATGGGGACGTTTCTGTGCTATTTATGGGTTGTGTGTCAGTATAATGGAGATGTGTCTGTGGTAATTACAGGTTGTGTGCAAGTATAATGGGGACGTGTCTGTGGTATTTACAGGTTTTGTGTAAGTATAATGGAGACGTGTCTCTGGTATTTATGGGTTGTCTGTTAGTATAACGGGGACGTCTCTATGGCATTTATAGACTGTGAATTAGTATAATGGGGACGTGTCTGTGGTATTTACAGGCAGTGTGTTAGTATAATAGGAACGTGTCTATGGTATTTACAGGCTGTGAATTAGTATGATGGGGACGTGTCTATGGTATTTACAGGTTGTTTGTTAGTATAATAGGAACGTGTCTATGGTATTTACAGGCTGTGTGTAAGTATAATGGGGGCGTGTCTGTGGTATTTAGAGGTTTTGTGTTAGTATCTTAGGGACGTGTCTTTGGTATTTATGGGTTGTGTGTTAGTATGACGGGACGTGTCTATGGTATTTATAGGCTGTGCATTAGTATAATGGGGACGTGTCTGTGGTATTTACAGGCTGTGTGTTAGTATAAAAGGAACGTGTCTATGGTAATTACAGGTTGTGTGTAAGTATAATGGGGACATGTCTGTGGTATTTATAGATTGTGTGTTAGTATAATGGGGACGTGTCTATGGTATTTACAGGCTGTGTGTTAGTATAATGGAGACTTGTCTGTGGTATTTATAGACAGTGTGTTAGTATAATCGGCACTTGGCTATGGTATTTATAGACTGTGTGTTAGTAAAATGGGGACGTGTCTGTGGTATTTACAGGTTGTCTGTTAGTATAGTAGAGACGTGTCTTAGGTATTTATAGGCTGTGTGTTAGTATGATGGAAACGTGTCTAAGGTATTGATAGGCTGTCTGTTAGTATAATGGGGGCGTGTCTGTGGTATTTACAGGTTGTTTGTTAGTATAATGGGGTCGTGTCTGTGGTATTTACAGGTTGTGTGTTAGTATAATGGAGACGCGTCTGTGGTAATTACAGTCTGAGTGTATGTATAATGGGAACGTGTCTATGGTATTTACAGGCTGTGTGTTAGTATAATGGAGACTTGTCTATGGTATTTATAGACAGTGTGTTAATATAATCGGCACTTGGCTATGGTATTTATAGACTGTGTGTTAGTAAAATGGGGACGTGTCTGTGGTATTTACAGGTTGTCTGTTAGTATAGTAGAGACGTGTCTTAGGTATTTATAGGCTGTGTGTTAGTATGATTGAAACGTGTCTAAGGTATTGATAGGCTGTCTGTTAGTATAATGGGGGCGTGTCTGTGGTATTTACAGGTTGTGTGTTAATATAATGGGGACGTGTCTGTGGTATTTACAGGTTGTGTGTTAGTATAATGGAGACGTGTCTGCGGTAATTACAGGCTTAGTGTATGTATAATGGGAACGTGTCTATGGTATTTACAGGCTGTGTGTTAGTACAATGGGGACGTGTCTGTGGTATTTACAGGTTGTGTGTTAGTATAATGGAGACATGTCTGTGGTATTTATAGATTGTGTGTTAGTATAATGGGGAAGTGTCTATGGTATTTACAGGCTGTGTGTTAGTATAATGGAGACTTGTCTATGGTATTTATAGACAGTGCGTTAGTAACATGGGGACGTGTCTGTGGTATTTACAGGTAGTCTGTTAGTATAGCAGAGGCGTGTCTTAGGTATTTATAGGCTGTGTGTTAGTATGATGGAAACGTGTCAATGTTATTTATAGGCTGTGTGTTAGTATAACGGGGACGTATCTGTGGTATTTACAGGTTGTGTGTTAGTATAATGGGAACGTGTCTGTGGTATTTATAGGCTGTGCGTTAGTATAATGGGGTCGTGTCTGTGGTATTTACAGGTTGCGTGTTAGTATAATAGAGACATGTCTAAGGTATTTAAAGGCTGTGTGTTCGTATGATGGGGACGTGTCTGTGGTAATTACTGGTTGTGTGTAAGTATAATGGAGATGTGTCTGTGGTATATATAGGCTGTGTGTTAGTATAATGGACACGTGTCTATGGTATTTATAGGCTGTGGGTTAGTATGATGGGGACGTGTCTATGGTATTTATAGGCTGTGTGTTATTATAACGGGGACGTATCTGTGGTATTTACAGGTTGTGTCTTAGTATAATGGGGACGTGTCTGTGGTATTTATGGGCTGTGCGTTAGTATAATGTGGACGTGTCTGTGGTATTTACAGATTGCGTGTTAGTATAATAGAGACAAGTCTAAGGTATTTAAAGGCTGTGTGTTCGTATGATGGGGACGTGTCTGTGGTAATTACAGGTTGTGTGTTGGTATAATGGGAACGTCTCTGTGGG